ATCTATATATACACCCTCACATTGGCCCCTTGTCCACAAAATGCCGCTGCCAGTCGCCGAGCTAGTCCTATTCACCTCTTCCCAGGCGCACCAGAAAGACCAGGGCATCCTTGGAAGGTCCATCGACATCCTCAACAAAACCGAGGGAAAAATCGCGTATGCTACTATCGCTCTCGCACGACATACAATTCACTAAGTGCACGGATTTTACAGCACCTACCATGGGCCCGAAGTAGAGGACCCGACCAACGGCTACCTCTTCGTCCGTACGTCCCCTCCTGTCCTCTATGTTCACGCAATCTAAATTCATCCGTCCCCACCCAGTCTGGCAAACCCTCGGGCACCACAAAGCCCTCATGTCCGGGCCCACCTACCCGGCGCTCGTCGAGACGCTCAAGCCTGCAGTCGGTGGGCCCTTTGAGATGCTGCACATCAACTTCACCAAGGACCCCACCCCTGCCCTCGAAGCACCCGTCACCGAGGTCGCCTTGGTCACCCTCAAGCCGGGGAAGACCAAGGAGGAAGTGGGTCCGCTGCTCCACAAGCTGACTGGCCTCCCGGCCCCCAGGATCGTCCTGTCGACGTGGGGGCCGACAGTCGAGAAGGAGGACACGATGATCATCGCCGCGGGGTGGGAGTCGGTGGAGGTGCGTCTTTGTCTTCCGTCCTCTCGTGATTGACGATGAGTTGTCACTGTGTTGGCTGGTGTTTTAGGCGCACGAGCAGGCGACGAAGGGCCTTCCAGAAGACGTCACGAAGTTCCTGGCGTCCGTTCGCGAGCTTGTAGATGTCAAGATCAGGCATGGTAAGCTGAAGAAGTACGACTGAGCCTGTGGGCTCCAGTGGAGGGCAAGGCAGAAATCCAAGCAGTGTTGAAACTCTATAAACTACCAGTTTCTGCCCATAGGGTTAAATACATCGCAACTCACCCGCTACCGTTGGCGACGCCGATATCAATCTGTTCACCATGCACATTATTTGATCATGCGCATAGTCCATTCATCCACTCCTTAGATAGGCTGCTCATCTATGGGGAAGGCTTCAGATACCTAACTTACCTTGGGATTGGATGCTATCAAGGATCCACTGTTGATCGCACTCGGCAGGATTCAGCTGCAGGTGGCGGCGCCACCAGAACGATTCGGACGTGGGCCAGGCACTCTGCCTAGGCCTGCGCTGAGACTCACCCTGACGGTATCCTTCAATGATAATTTAATTAACTTAGGACTGACGTTGTCACGATAAATCTGAAACAAGTTCGTATAGGCTTGCTGAGGACGTTTTTCTTCGTGTATTCATCCGAGTCCTATCAAGTATGTCACTGGCATCGATGCGGACACGACCATCCACTTGAAAGTGCAAATCATTGGTGTCGCTGCGCCGAAAGGGGTGGCAAGGTCGAAGGAAGCGCTCTGGTACGGTTGGAACTTGGCGTAAGAAGAAGCAGGCATATTAATATTCCTCATATTTGTTTGTAGTTGTTTCTGGCCATTTCTGTGGCGCACAATACCAATGCGACCCATGAAATTTGACACCTTGGAAGCCATGTCGGCACTTCGCTATGTATGTCAGCCGTCGATTTCTGCTTACTTAGACTATCTGGAGCAGTATCGAGTCAGAATATTCGGCCATCGGGATTGCGCAGGCTGAGGTAAGTAGTGGAATGGGTCAGCTAGCTCGGCGTCAATATTGCCGTGGCCGCGTCAGTTCACCGCGTTTGTCCCGTCCAATTCAGAACTGTATACCATGCAACCAGCTGTATACCTCGCGACATCTACACAACATTATCGCCCTTCTTTTCTGGACTCTGCAAGTCTGAGGATGCGCTGCGAAACCAATGATCAGTCGGTGGCGGACGCACAAACTCAAACAGGACGCGGACTCGGGCGGGGTGCATACCGCATAGCAGAAGGCGTCACTCTCAATTGCATAATAGAACTATGATGCCTAATGCTCGAAGTACAGTCAAAGCGATTGATGACACGGTCGGTCATTATAAATACGTGTATCCCCCGCGGTACTCCTTTGTGTCGACCTTCCCCTCGTCCAATCTACAATGCCGCTCCCAGTCGCCGAACTCGTCACATTCACCTCTACCGAGGCATACCAGAAAGATCAGAGCGTCCTCGGAGGGCTGCTGGATCTCCTCAGCAAAGCCGAGGGGAGGATCAGGTAAGCTGGTAGTTTCGTACGGGAATGCAAGCACCCACCCCCCAAACTCTATGTACAGCACGTTTCACGGCCCAGAAGTCGAGGACCCGTCCAGAGCCTATCTCTTCGTCCGTACGTTCTCTTCTTCCTACGTCGTACCGCCCAAGACCCACTAGCAGCCCCAAAGTGTGGCACGCCATCGAGCAGCGGATCGCGTTCACGAACGGACCCCTCGCCGCCAACCGCGAAATACTCAAGCCCGCCTTCGGCGGCCCGCCCGAGATGGTGCACGTCCACTTCGTGCAGGACCCCACGCCCGCGTTCGACGCGCCCGTCACGGAGGTCGCCGTGATCACCATCAAGCCGGGGCACACCAAGGAGCAGGTGGGCCCTCTGCTCGACCAGCTGACGAACTTCCGGACGGAGGGGCTCACGTTGTCCACGTGGGGGCCGATGGTGGAGCGGGAGGACACGCTGTACATTGCCGCCGGGTGGGAGTCGCTGGAGGTACATCTCTCCCTTCCTCTGGTGGCAGCTGGTTGAGGTGCTGATGCTCCCGATCGATGACAAGGCCCACCAGAAGTCGTATGAGAGCGCGTCGGAGGAGTTCATGAAGGTCATAACGGCCATCCGCGATCGCGCGGAGCTCAAGATCACCCACGGAAAGTTGAGGAAGTACGACTGAGCTTGTTGGCTCCCGAAGATAATGATATCATTTGAAGGAAAACTTGTATACTAGCACTACCCCCTGCTTATTGCATCCCTTCTTACCCCCCTCTCTTCGTGGTGATGCTTGTTCAGGATACTCTGTCTTCCCGCTACGCTTGCAGTGTCAATCATATCTCATTAGATCGGATCATGCGCATGGTCCATTCATCTAAGTATCGTACCAAAACCTACAACCAAGAAACCATTACACCACATCCCCCGTCCGCGGGTCATCATTTTAAGTTGACATCATCCTCACGACGTCTGCACGCGCGCCTTGACCGCCTTCTCCAGCCCAAAGAACCGTCCCCGTTCTGCCTTCTTCGCCTGCCTCTCCCTCGTCTCCCGCTCGACCTCCTCGTCCGTGAGGTTCCCGCCAAACGAGTACCACGTCACCGTCGCCATCCCGATCACCGCGGTGAGCACGCAGCCGAACATCGCGCCGACGCCCTTCGGGTGCCACCCGTTGTGCTGCGGGAACGGGCCCTCGGGCAGCCCGCTGAGGTCCGTCGCGCTCGCGTGCCCCGCCGCGTTCCCGCTCGTCGGCATCCCCTGCGCGGCGCACTGCTCGCCGATGTAGGACGGGATCCCGCCCGCCGCGAGCGTGCGCTGCTGGAACTCGAGCGGGGCCTCGATGATCTGGATCGCGAGCCCGACTTCGAGGTGCCACTCGATGTGACCTGCGGGGGGTGGGGGGTGCGGGGGTGAGAACGGGCGCGAGCTCAAGGGGAAGCGGACGACGCACAGTGGAAGAACCACACCCCGGGGTTGTCCGCGACGACGCGCATCGTCGCGGAGCCCATGCTCGGCACCATGACCGTGTCGCGCCGCATCGGATTCGCCTGCCCCTCGTCGAGCGGCGGGTTCAGCGTCGCATTGTCGCTCGTATAGTCCGTCGCGCGGCCGACCAGCTGGAACTGGTGCCCGTGCAAGTGGCTTTGTTGTCATAAGCGTCAGCCATTGTGTGTGAGGGGAAGGGGAAAGGGGAACGGTTGCGTACAAAGGGTGCTTGCCCGCGTCGCCGTTCTTGAGCACGATGTCGAACACGTCGAGGTGGTCGACGACGAAGGAGAGCGGGCCGTACGCGCCCGCGACGGTCGCGTTCTCGCCCAGCGTGAGCTCGGAAAACACCGCGGGCACGAGCGGCGTGTTGTACCTGCACGCCCGTCAGCACCCAAGGCCACTCTACACCGCTAGGACCACGCAACGTACGTCTGCAGATTAAACATGGCGTGGTTCGTGCCGTCCTGCATGGTGTCGAAGGACACCTCGAGCTCGATCGTCTTTGCCGCGGGCGGGAGCTGCGGCACGGCCTGCACGGGCACGAGCGCGGTGTCGTTCACGTCGACGTACTCGTCCACCGGGTCGAGCTGCGTGATCTCCGCGAGCGACGCCGGCGGGGTGGTGTACGAGATCGACGACGTCACGTCTGCGCGCGGGTTTTGTCAGCGGAAGAGGTAAGGAGGGGAAACGGGGGAAAGGGGCAGGACGTACTGGGGTTCAGCGTGTCCGGGACGGTGTCGAACATGACGGTGTCCATGTTTGCGTGCACCGCCCAGTTCTTGGCGTCGGAATCGCTGTCGTTGCGCGCGTACACGAGCACGGAGTAGCGCTGCGCGACGGCGAGATTGAGCATGTCGACCGGCTGCGGCTGCGTGTCGACCTGCGCGCACGAGCGTTAGTGTCGTCAAAGGAAGGGGCAAGCACTAAGGATAGCGCACCCCGTCGGCCTCGATGATCTGCATCTCGTGCCCGTCGATCCAGAAGTAGAACCCGGCGAACGCGGAGGTGTTGACGATGCGCAGGCTGTATGTATGGGTGCATCGTCAGCTTTGTTAATGCGTAAGTCGCGGACGCGACGCACCGATATTTCTTCCCGCGCTCGAACGGGATGGTCGCGTTCTCGTTGTAGCCGACGTTGCTCGTGACCCAGCTGGACGGTGTCGTTCCGGGGATGGGGCCCATGTACTGCCCATTGTGCGTGTAATATACCAGCGCCGAGTCTATCATCCGTCAGAATCAACACTTCCTGGTGGGGACGGGGCGCTCACCAGGGACAGGCTCGGCGCCGCCGGGGTTGGCGATGCTGATGAACTGCTTCAGGAGGACCTTCTGCTCGTCGTGGTACCAGTCACCGAGCACGATCGTGTACTCGTCGTCGTAGTCGTAGACCTCGGTGGGCGGGTGGATGACGACGGGGGCGCGGAGGCCGTCGACGTACTGCCCCTTGGCGTGGGCGTGGACCCAGTAGGTGCCCCACTGGCCGGAGCCGTTGATGGGGACGACGTAGTCGAACGAGGCGCCGGGGGGGATGCCGCTGCACGCCGCAATTTATTCAGTTACACTTTACCGAAAAAAAATGCTGGACGGGGGACTGACCACTGCGAAACCCCGAGGGCGCCGTCCATCCAGGTGGAGGCGTTGAAGAACATGCCGTGGTGGTGGAGGGTGGCGACCTCGTCGAGCGAGTTGAGGGCGTGCAGGAGGATGGTGTCGTTCGTGGAGACCTCGATGGGCGGCGGGGGCCAGGAGCCGTTGACGCCGATGACGCGGCGCTCGGCGAGCCCGTCGGGGATGGCGTTGTAGACGTATGTGATGTTCCACCAGAGCTCGTGCACGGCGGCGCGCGCGCACGTCGTCGCCGTCAGCGCCGCGAAAGCCGCGAGGGGGGTGCGCATCCTGAAGGGGGCGTAAGCAGGGTCGGGGAGATTAGATGCGGGAGATAAATAATGAGGAGGGGAGGGTGATAAGATGAGCAGGGGCCACAAGCGAAGGCAGCCCGATGGTATCTGATTAGATGGCGCCACCTGCTACCTGGTCTAATCTGATACACCCTCACTCAGAGATTCGGCAGCCACAGAGCCCGCGTTAGCCTCCGCGTTATTCAAGTGCAACAGCGACCGCAATACAAACGCGGGTTCAGCGCAGAGCAGAGCAGAGACAGGAAAGAGAACAGCCAGCGACGGCCACCGAAACTCGACCCATCCGCGAGATGGAAAATTTTATCTGATAAGCCCGTCTGGGCCGATCACCGTCGGCCATTCTCGGCTCGGACGCTTCTCCTGATCCTTATTGCCGTCTGCCACAACACGACACGAGGAATTCGGAAAGCGACGCGGACGCACCTGAACTTGAAGTTGAGAGGTTTGTGCTGCGAGGCAGAATCCGCGCTTGGCTGGGGCTTGGCTTGGCTGGAGGGGAAAGGGGATCAGGTTATCTGATATGATGTGGTGCCTTTCGAGAATGGAAAACGGGGACGGGGGGCGACGGGTGATTGAGTTAAGGCCGTGACGACGATCCAGATGGCATATGTCATTCGTGATCGCCAGTATTCGGAGGGCGAGGTGCAGAAAATAGAACAGAGGCGGATAAGTAGAATAGGTGAAAACGCCAGACAAATCCAACGAAAAATAAAAATAGAATACATCGAGTTATATTTTCACGACTCACCTCCGAGTGCGAGTCCTTCCAAGCTCCGAGTCGCGCTTCACCGAGTCCGTCAAGCGCAAGTCGTCCTTGCAGCACTATCGTCGTCGTGGTCCAAAGCAAGACCCCTCTTCCAGCTTCGCGCCATTAATACCCACCCAACGCCCTACAACCGCCGCCCTTAGCCTCACTCTGGAACGGCGCCAGTGCCCCTCCTGCCCAAAACGGTCGCGGGCAGCACACCGCTCGCTTCCGCGCTCCCACACCCCGGGCCAATGGGCGCCCGCTCATTGAGACTGCCTTCGCCGGAGCCAAGTGCGGGGGCAGCAGGCGACATAGGCGTGCAAGCGCGGTTTCGAGGTCGAGGCCGGGGTGCTCGGTGTTGATTAATGATGTGGACGCGGTAGTTGTGGACGCGTATGGGGTTCGCTGGGCGCGGTCAGTTGACGTCGTGCCTCGCTCGCTGAACTATACTCGGGGGACAACGGGCCTGTGACCTTGAACTTTCGAGCGTCGACTCGCCGAGTGGTCTTGGGGAGCCAACTTCAAGGCTGCGCTGCCGCCAAGCGGGTCTACAGGTAATATCGCGCAGGGTCGTACTAGCAATATCAATCAAAACTAACCGCCTACCCCTCTATTCTAAACCTGCCCTTATTGCCTGCTCGTCCTCGGTTGCCAAGTCCACCTAGCATAGCACTCCCACATCCTCATCGCGCTATAATTGACAGTTATACGTCTTCACGATCGAGGGGACGCGGGCGCAATTACGTGCCTATATTTGCGCTGGGAAATTACGAGATATCTTATCAGATGCACAAAAGTGCATCTTATCAGATAATTTAGGGGAAATATAAGGTCGCGTTCTCCGAGTTGGACGCCGCTTGGCGCGAACGACCCGGTTCTTGGCTGCCTGCCCCCGCCCCCGTCTCTGAGCAGCGAGCACCTCGAGCACGACATACACCCGGAACTCAATCCAGAGGTTCTTGCACTAGCGCGAACGGACCATCGCCTGCTGCTTGTGGACCGACGAGCAAGTCCCTGAGTGGCGAGCCGAGCACCCGATCGAGTGCGGGGCGTCCTCGCGTAGACCAGACAGACCCGACCCGTTTGGAAAAACGATTGCCAAGTGCAGCGAACAAACCGCGCCACCTGAACGGTTCACCCTCGCTTAGATCGCATCTGCACCTCCGAGTGCTCGATCGCCGTCCACCGAGTCGATCATCAGGACATCTCGTTTCGATCACTCGTCACCCAGTCGCAAGATAAAACGCGAGCCAGCCAAGATGACGCGCCCCGGCTACCCGCACCTCCCCGCCGCGCTCGCCCCCACCGCGCCCGCACACATGGCGAGGAACCTGTTCTCCGTCCCCATCTTCTTCATCGTCTGGCGCGAGACGCTCGAGGCCGCCATCATCATCTCTGTCCTCCTCGGCCTCGTCGAGCAGATCGTCAAGGATGAGCCCGGGCGCATTACGGGCGTCGCTGGGACGGGCGACGTGAAAGTGAAGGAGACGGAGGGGAAGGAGAAGGAGAAGGAGAAGGAGAAGGAGAAAGAGGCCAGCCAGGAGGGCGCGGTCCCCGAGCTGCGCCGCGACGACAGCGTGAGCGAGGGCACCGGCAGCGACTCGGAGGTCGAGGACGTCCAGGTCGACGCGAAGAAGCTCATCAAGAAGCTCCGCATGCAGGTCGGTCATCACACGTACTTTGGAAGGACATTTCTGACACCCTATGCAGATATTCATCGGCGGCGCGATCGGCCTGCTCGTCGCGCTCGCCATCGGCGCCGCCTTTATCGCCGTCTGGTTCACGCAGGCCTCCAACCTCTGGCAAAAGTCCGAGGAGCTCTGGGAAGGTCCGTCTTTGCATCCTCGCACGCTTAGGACGGTAGGCTGATGTATGCGCCCGCAGGTATCTTCGAGTTTATCGCATCGCTGATGATCTTCGTCATGGGCGTCACGATGCTCAAGCTCGACCGCGCCAAAGCCAAGTGGCGCGTCAAGCTGCAGAAGGCATTTGACGGACGCCGTAAGCCCGCTCCCCCTTCCCATCATCCACTAGCTAACCCAAACTCCGCCTCCCCCAGGCGTCGACCGCCAAACGCTCACCGGCCGCTGGGTGCTGCTCATCCTCCCGCTGATCACCGTCCTCCGCGAGGGCATCGAGGCCGTCATCTTCGTCGGCGGCGTCTCCCTCGGCCAGCCCGCCACCGCCATCCCCATCGCGGCCATCGTCGGCCTCATCTGCGGGCTCGCGTGCGGCTTCGTGATCTACCAGTTCGCGTCGCGCACGACGCTCCGCGTCTTCCTCGTCGTCATGACCAACTTCCTCTTGCTCATCGGCGCGGGGCTCTTCAGCAAGGCGATCTGGGCCTTCCAGGAGAACGCGTTCAACAATTTGCTCGGCGCGGACGTGGACGACACGGGCGGGGACGGCCCCGGGTCTTTCGATGTTAGGGGGAACGTGTGGCATCTGGATTGCTGTAACCCGGATAACAACGTCGACGGCCAGGGCTGGCTCATCTTTGGCGCGATCTTCGGGTGGACGAACAGCGCGACGGTCGGCTCGGTGCTCTCGTACGTGTTCTACTGGCTCGCGGTCATCGCGGTGCTCGTGTACATGAAGTTCAAGGAGGTCGGTGGTTTGGTGTCGGTTACTGTTTTCGTCTGGCTGATTGGATGGTGTTCTAGGGCCGGACGAGGCTGTTTGGCAGGTACGAGAGCGCGGCGGGTAAGCGGAGGCGGATCGAGCGCGAGGCAAGGGAGGCGCTCCCGCAATGATCTCTCTCACCCTCTTCACTTGTCTCTTCTCCCCTTTGTCCCCCGCCGCCGCCACTGGACCTAAATACAACAAAATTGCACTTCCCGCACCCCTGTAGACTACATCTGATTCCTTGGTTTTCGTCTCCTCTCCTGTATTTTTTCTCCACGTTTCATCCTTTTGTTTTCTTAGGTAGTTGATGACGGCTTGCGATGGATGCTATGAAATGGAATGCAACGAAGTTCGCTCTCATCTCTTCTCTGGTGTTCGCGAGTTCCCCTACGCGAATGTAATGTAAGGCGTCACGCGTCAATTGCAGTGGGTTCAATGTCCCATGATCGCGCGGCGCTGCCCGCTACAGACACCTGAATCTACAACTAGGCGTGTGATGTCCACTTTCCATTGCTCGCAAGCATTCAACTGATGCACAGCGATAGCTCCACAGGTACCCGCACAAGAGACTCTCCGCATCTTGGAATAGCGCACCTAATCTGGGAGGGTCGTATCAGATAACTTGAACGGGGGCATAGATCAAAATGCTGCATGCGGGATGCACCTCCGAAACGCCCAGAAAAATTCAGAGCCAGTATAGACATACGCACGTCGCAGGGATTGACGAAGTAATCCAATCCGCCTGAGGGTGTACGTGGTATGTAGCGAAGTGGACGGGAAGTGCAAGTACACTGGCAGGTCCTGCCACTGGCACGCGTTCAGCACAGCAAGCGGCAGGCAACACCCGGCATGTGCTTCTGATTTGCCACATCCGTCTCAGCCAATCAGCGCGGCTCTTCGACTCCGACGAACGTGCGTCGAACATATGACCGGAAGCGCTCGCGCACGAAGAAATCCCTTTCATATTCATTCCCAAGCATCTATTCGTCCGAATGCCTCTGATTTCAACACTTTTTCAACGGTGAACCCAATCGGAAGATGAAAGATGAAACACCACATCCAAAATACGCGCCCCGGGAGACTTGCAGACGGCGTTTGCTCTATATCCAGTTGATAGGCGGGCAACACTGTCTGTATTACCCGCACCTCCCCGCCACAGCAAAGATGACACGCACGACTCGCAACCTGTTAACCGTCCCCATCTTCATCTGGCGCAAGACCCTCGGTCATCGCGGCGATGGTGTACATGGAAGTTCAAGGAGGTTAGTGGCTTAGTATTTGTCCCATTTTCCTCGGGCTAATCAATTGTTGTTATAGGGCAGAACGAAGCTCTTTGGCAAATACGAGAGCGCGGCGGGCAACCGGAGGCAGACGAGCGCGAGGCAAGGGAGGCGCGCCCTCAATGATCTCGCTCTCTCTCCCCTCCCCCGCCCATCACACCAGGAGATTCCTGCTACAAAGAGCGATCTCCCGCTAGCACCTGGAAATATGCGGAGAGTTCGCCTCCTCCTTAGACTTCACGATGACCTGACCACAGCGATCTATTGCTCGCGACTGCCTACTATTTATTCACGACAGCGACCGAGGCTAGTGGCCCTGAGGTACTCGTCTGAGCCCTCCGCGACATATATACAACTTGATTGCATTGGAACTGAGAAGCGCGAGCCAGAACGCACCTAATCTCCGAGCAGAACTTAGATTGAATCAGAACGCGCATGATCATGATCGTCCCTCTATCGGTTTCGGTATCATATCAGATAACGGGGGCATATGAGGACAGTGCTAACCTTAAGTGAGTCATATCACGATCGTCCCAGCGTGCGTGACCTTTCCTGAGTTCTGAGGGCGAAGGAAGGGAGGGCCGGGAGGTTGGGGGAAGCCGGGACTGTAAGAAGGGGGAACTTGGATGCAAAAGTGGGTCATGATTCGCCACGGGACTCGGGTTGCGCAGATGGGGGTAAAGGGATCATATGTCGCGGGTCGGTGTGCTCGTACTCGGGCTCGGGCTCGAGCTTTCTCTCGGAGTGGACGAGGCCAACTAGCTGGGATCGTATTGCTCGAGAGCGATACCTCGTCCTCTTAAGTTGACAGGATGCCGCAGGCGTACCGCTCGGCTTGGATACCTGGACGCGTGTGCATCTCTGCCCAAGTCCTGAGGCATGAGGCCTTGAGGCCTGAGTCCCGAGTGGATGAGGGTCTGCCGCGACCCAGGGAGGGTCTACGTCGTAGGTAACTCCTGCCAGTGTACGTTGAGTGTATGGTGGACCGTGATAGCACCAGTACGCAACGAGCTATCTCCTACCGGTCTGACGCGTGATCTATCCGTGACAGTTCGGGGGTCACGGTTAGGTCTGGTTCAATTATGCGATCCTCCACCTCCTACGCTTCATACCGCGGGCAGCTCGTCATCGTCTCCAATTGTGCCCATCGCAAGTGGAGGCCATCCTGGAGGTTCACGAAGCTTCGACGCTAGTCGCAAATTTGCGTAGGAAGCATTCTCGGAGTTAGGAGATGAGATCGACGTGACGAGTCGGACTTGACAACTTAGTCGCGAGGAACGTCAGTGCTTGGAGAGTTTCGCGCGTTCCCTCTCAGCCCGAGTCGGTCAGCTAGTTTTATTGCCGAAGCTTAAGCTCAGTCCGTAATCGTTTCGAAAACGGCAAGGTGCGCATAAGTGCACAGGTGGCCAGCGATCTTCTCAAGTCGAAACCGTCATCAGTGCCAACATTGTCGCTGGTTTTCCGCGGGTATATCTCTGCGGTGGCAGAGAAGGACAGAGGATGTCTTGCAAATTGACGGTGGGCAATGCTGCTCGACGTGGACGATGTTTATTGACTGCCCAGCATCCGGTGATAAGTCGGACGGATTGCCGCAAAAATAGAACTGGCGCTGAGCGCAGTGGACGAGTATCCGGTCAGCGGAACCAGCAGCAGTGATGGACGTATGAAGCAGGACTCTTATCTGATAAGCCGGGCGTGGTTGATCATCTACACGGTAACTTGGACCTTATCTGATAACTCGGGCTGCGTGCTCCGAGGATGTCCTCGCTAAAGGAACGCACATGCCACAATGCAGACGGCCTGCTTGATGCAGGACTTGGCAGCGGGGCGGTGTTTCCCCAACGAAGAGTTGCGCCGCTACTTACTCCCATTGCTTGCTGCATTTTTCGCAGTATCAGTACTAGTCGGACATTGACAGCCTGCACTAGGTTTGCCTATATACGCTACACAGACTACCAGCAGATTCTAAGGGTAAGCCATCGAGCCGCCCCTCGCTCGAGCAATTCCTCAGTGGATGACAACAGCAGCTAAATTGCCGCAGGCTGGCACGCGTACCTGAGAACGTCTGGACTAGCGGAGCAAATGCCTCGCTTTCTCGCGCGTAGCTTTTCGTTTCTCTTCCATACTGTACTTTCTGCATGACCCGGTTCCTGAGTAGATCTGTCAGGAACGATGGACATACCCTTGTCCACTGCCCCGTCTGTGCCGATTCGGAATACCGCAGTCGGACTTTCATGTCGGTCAAGGCCAGACTCCACTTTCTTCATGTGATGACAGGATGAACCAGTTCGACGTGGTTCAAGATGCTGACGTTGGCAGTTATCTGATAGGATTTCCCTGAATTCTGTAAATATGTTGTTGAGTTATCACGTCTATTATCCATCTGATGACGATTTGGGACATTCCAGGAGCCACACTGCTTCCCCGAGTGCGTTGTTGAATGAATCATCTATCAAGTTCTCACTCCAAGGCACTCAGCGCCCGATCCCGCCCGCATGGTAGCGAGTCATCTACCTCGAGCTCGCCGAGAAAAATTGACAGTCTGAGGACAGATGCTCACCTTCCGTGCAGTCTCCAACACCTACCATTGCACGTACGCAGTGTATCCGCTCTCGGTTCATACTGCACCATTGCAGCGGTGAAATTCTAATGAACGAACAGTCACCGTATCATTCACCGACTCGCCACCACCTGCTTGACAGCAGTATATCCACCAATATTGATGACCGCGTAGTGGAGATCCTTGAGGGAGCTCACCTTCGACTGCCATCCTCGCGACCCTCGGAACGCTCTTCCACCTGCCTTCGAGTTAATCTCTTCTATACGCATGGCACCATTCGAGTCTGATAGCGTATCAGAATTGGGTGGAGATGCAGGCCACAGGAGTCCATGTCCCCTGTCAACACGAACCCTTCATGCGTGTATACATACAGGCCGGCGCAAGTGCGACGAAGGTAACTTGCTTATGTCCGAGGCGCGTTCGAAGCCACACTCGCGGCCCGTTTTCTGCTGGGCCTTTGGCGCACACCCGATGCTAACACCGCGTAACATCGACGCCGACGGAGGAGCCACGGAAGGTTTACCCTGGGTTCTGCTTCTTCGTGAACGACTCGGAGGCTTATGTCATGCTGGGGTACGACCGTACGAGGACGCATTTTTGGACACACCTGCCGCAGCAATACCACCGACAATTCCCACTTACAACTGGACATGGCGGTAGACCGTGGCCGCATCGATTCATGATGTAAGTGCCTGGTATGACAACCGGACTGTCAGTCATGAGTGTTCGGACATTTTCTTGTCCACATAGTATGTGGACAAGAAAATGTCCGAACTCGTTCAGACCTACTAGTATCGCGACAACAGTGTGGGTCCTTCGCTTTCTTGAAATCAAGGATACAATGACATTGTCCTTAGTGAAGACGTCCGAGTCGTTCTGGTGGCGCGGGCGCAGACGCGTCGTGCTCGGTGATTGTGACATAAATGAGTAGCCTCGAGCTCGGAAAGGCCGCGTTATGCGTAACGGCGCACGTGATTCAGAACCACGAGAGGTAACATCACCTCCCTCGCGACTTGTGGATGCCTGTCATGCTGCCTCCAGGCCTGAAAGGTGATTGCACCCTATACAGCGTAGGCGGGGATGCGGACTGGCTGCCTATTGAGAGCACAAGGTTCTATACAAATGCCTTTATTGTTCAAGACGAGCAGGTCAGCGGCCCCACTGGATTTCGCTGAGGCACATTCGGAACTGAGATAATTAGATTTTGATGGGCATGAAGAAGCGCGGCTTTGGAAAGGATAAGTAAGCTGCTAACAATGTGTAGATATATTTTCGAGGGACGATACAGGTTGACCCGTCGCTAGATACAACGGCTTCGGAGGTAAAGTAGAAGGAGGGGAAACCTCCGCCGAAGCAGCGTTGCGCGAATTACAGGTTCATATACGCCAGACTATTTACTTAACTGAGGCTCACTGTGACCTTCGTTTGGCAGGAAGAAGCGGGGATTACGGCGCCTCTTCAGCACAGCGGCGCCATGCTCTTCGTGAGCGAGGGTGTTGAGGCAGCTTTCCACATCGACTACTATGCTGCGTCGACCTACGAGGGAGCTATTACAGAGTGAGTGCCTTGCCCATTCTCAAAGAACAGTTAATTTGAACATCTTTTGTCGCACAAGGACGGAGGAGATGCGTCCCGAGTGGTTCGCCGTTCCTAATCAATACGCATCGGGAGATGCCAATCATTCAGCGACTTTGCCCGCCATCCCGTTTGACAGGATGTGGGAAGCGGACAAGATCTGGTTCCCGCTCTTCCTTTCCAGAAAGAAGTTTAACGGGCGCGTCGATTTCCGGCTGGACGAGAGTGGGCAGCATAGATTGCAGAGGTGGTGGTTTGGGACGTTGGCGGAGTCATGAGCGTGAACTGCAAGTTCTCTACATTGGTTATCAAATTTGTTTACTCTATAGTGGATTGGTATACCTAAGAGTGCGCGCTCTGCAGTAACTTTGGTACAACGGACGAATAGGCTGACTTGCTACTAGTAGGCGTTTGTTTCTGCTGGCGATGCGGTGAAGAAGATAGGCTTACTGCACTCAAACGTCTACTCAGTAAGCACAGCTCAGTGTCTGTCATAGCGTATGCTCAGGGGCTGTTCTGCACGGCTTCCGCTGTGATGGTGTAAATCCCGATTTGGAAAGAGGCGAGCCAAATTGGGACGAGTATGATTTCAGCCGACATAGTACCATATCTCTGCACGAATATCACTTTTTTATTATTACAAGTCACCATGGAGCTCTGGCTAGTGCCTTTGCTCTCTACCACCACCATCCCCACCCTCTGCTCTAACCCGCGTCCGCCACGGTGAAGGGTGCTCGCTAGCTGTGGTCTTCCGCTCCAGTTACTGTCGCTGACGAGTATCGCAACTTCGAGGGATAACTGAGGGCAGCGCGGTGAGGCAGGAAGCCTTGGGTGTATCTGGTGCTGGCGGGACTGCGCGAGGTCATAGAGGAGCCGCCACTGCCAAACAGAAGCAAATTATGGAGAACACCGCCACCGCGTCTATTCCGGGAATTATAGAAAGTGGTCCGACAAGCGGTGAGTGCGCAGAGCGACCTTGCTAACATCGACTCACACGTCCGTCCCAGCCCCGCCCGCCTTAGAGCTCTGCGGCATGGACGACCTTGCCAGCTCGAGCTCCTGGAGCGCCTCTGAACCGCAGCCACAGTCGGACCTCCTGGACCCGTCCGACCCGCTCAACCTCATCCTGAATAACATGTCGGCGAGCGGCGACTCGTCCATGGAGGACTCGTCGTCGTCGTCGCACAGCAGCCCGCCAGACTGGTCGGAACTCTCTGCGCTGTGGACGAATCCGCCGCCGGAGCAGGATGCCGCGGAGAACGCAAAGTTCGCCCAGGACGTGAATATGGACTTTAACTTCTCGTTCCCGATGGACTTGGACTTTAACCCCGCGTCGTCGATTGACCCCAGTGCATTGCACTTTAACTATAACGCCGTGCCACCGCTCAACTTCCCTGTGGACGGGTTCCTCTCCGCCCAGGACCTGCTGAATGTCCCCTTCCCTGCAACGCTGCAACCGGGTGGAAATGAGGGTGCCTTCCCATTTTCTGGCATTGGTTCTGGTGCACGTCGTCTCAGTGTCACCTCGTCCTCGTCCTCGTCAGGGGCATCGCTCTCTCCGATCCTGGAACACAATTCCCCGGTCGAGGCTAGTCCCCAGACGACCCCTACAGGCAACCCAGACGCCGCCGAGGAGCTGGCAAACAAAGTCCGCCAAGCAGCTGGTGTCACCCTTGCTGTGCCGGTATCAGCGCAAATGCAGCAAGCCATGGTCTCAGGTTCATACTACGCTCTTCCACCCGCTTGAATTATTCCTAACACATAATCTACAGCTATCCAGGCCCCGCAGCCCAAGCTCCCGATCCCCCGCCTTCCCCGTCCCAACACCGGCGCCGCCTCGAAAATGAAACGTGTCGCGGCGAAACCTAGCCCGCCATCCACCGCATCCACCTCCCGTTCCTCGACCTCCTCTCCGCCCCCGTCCACCACCGAGTCCACGTCCTCCCTCCCCTCTCCCGCTTCAGCGCTCCCCGCACTGTCGACAGGGCGGGGCAAGACGAGCCACACGACCATCGAGCGGCGCTACCGCACGAACCTGAACGCGCGCATCCAGAGCCTGCGAAGGGCAGTGCCCGCGCTGCGCGTGCTAGAGCAGAAGGAGGGCAAGGTGGACTTCGGCGACGTCGTGGACGAGCGGGGGTTCGTCGACGGGGTCAGGGTCGCGCGGAAGACGAGCAAGGCGAGCATCCTCGGCAAGGCGGTCGAGTACATCCGGTGAGCCCCCCCCCCCCTTTCTGTCCTTTCGCACTGTTGCTCACGCGAAACGCAGGGTCCTCAAGAAGCGCGAGGGGCGGCTGAAGCGCGAGCAGGACGGCCTGCGGTGCCTCATCTGCGGGCTCGTGGGCGGGCCGGCGCTGCTGAAGGAGTGGGAGCGCGAGTGGCGCGAGAAGTTCGGCGGCGAGGAGCGCGACGAGGTCGAGGGCGACGAGGCGGAGAGCGAGGACGATGATAGTGAGGGCGACGAGGAGGAGGGCGAGGGCCGCGCGAAGAAGCGTGCGCGCGTCGCGAAGCCTGCACAGCCGAAGAAGGAGAAGAAGCCTGCGGCTCCGAAGGCGGAGCCGGTGGTCGGTGGGGAGGGCGTCGTGCCCGAGAAGAGGAAGCGCGGGCGGCCGCGGAAGGTGCCCGCCCCTGCGCCTGAGCCGGTCGTGGCGGTGGGCGTGGAGGTGCCGCTTGCGCCTGCGCCCGCGCCAGCTGAGGCGGGCGTGCAGAAGCAGGAGGAGCCAGTACCGCAGAGTCAGGGGCAAGGACAGCAGTACCTCCTCGCCGCTTTTGCGTTCTTCTCGTTCTTCAACTCGCCGCTGACCACGCAGTCCAGCGCCGGGCAGCATCATACGCACACTGGGACGGTGTTGTCGCCGGTGCCGCACCCCGCGCATGCGCAGGGCGGCGTTGCGTGGAGAGAAGTTGTGCAGGGCTTCCACCTGCTCGTGTCGGCGCTGGTGTTCCTGTCGATTGTGCTGCCGTGGCTCCCCGCGGCGGTGCGCCGGTCGAAGCTGAGCTCGCTGATGGTTACGCCGTTCAGCATTCATGCGTTCAGGTCGTCAACGCAATCTCGCATCGAAGAGCCCGTGCGTAATAGGCGCAGGGAGCGCAGCGTGTCGAAGTCGGGCCGCACGACGGTCGCGCTGACGAAGGCGCTTGCGCATGCGAACCGTGGGACGCCGCACGAGGCGGCGCGCCTGCGCGCGGCGCTGGGCGTGTATGACGGTGTGGTGGGGCTCGTCCAGAGTGTGTTTGTGGGGAGGAAGAAGGGCGGGAGCTATGAAGCGCGGCAGGCGGAGCAGAGGGCGTGGGGGCGGCTCGGCGAGTTGGTCGTTCTGGATGGTTAGTCGTTCATTTCCGTACTGAAGTCGCAATGGGGTCTGACGAGGTGCATTTGTGCAGGTACAAAGTCCGTGGCGACGCGCCTGCAGACATATTTCTGCATGCGGCTGCAGACGCCGTACTTCAAGGCGTCCGCGTCGGACCTGTGCACGCTCGCGCTGATCATCCACCCGGTGGTCAAGTCCAGCGCGCAGCAGTTCTGGGCGCGCGCGCTGCAGGCCGAGTTCATCCGGCCGTACGAGCGTCTCGTGCTCGAGACGATGACCGTCGACGAGGCCGCGGAGCGGCTGATTGCCCGGCGGAAGCTGGAGAGCGGCCAGGAGAAACGGGCGTACTGGGCGAGCACGCCCCTGCGCGTGCTTGCGGAGGTGCTCCTGTGCGAGCGCCTCAGGCGCGATTCGGCGACACTGTTCGTGCGAACCGTGCTCCGGAAGGGTCAAAAAGCTGCCAGTGAGTACGAGGACGAGAAGTGCTCTCCGGCTGCGGCTTGGGATCCCGAAGAGGAGATGGTCCTGGAGAAGGAGCGGAGGCGCACCGTCGACGCTGGCAAGTCCCTTGGCGGGCTGACTGCGGAGCTCTCCGAGTACTTGGAGAAGATATGGGAAACCGGGTACTGCTCGCTGGAGGCCCTGGACGCCGACGGCCGCGGTGCTTCCACCGAGTCCAGCGCAGAGTTGGAAGCGGAGGTGAGGCCGCTCATACGCGCGCTGATGCTCTACCGCCAGATCTTCCCGTCGTGCCTCGCGGGCAGCGCGGGCGAGGGTTCGATATCGCTCATACTGTCTCCCCCACCATCGCCGTCGAGGAAGAACCCCGGGTTGCACAAAGAGCTTAGGGATACACTTGGTTCCGGCGTCTTCGAGAATCTGGTGTCGGGTCAGTATGCCTCTGGGGAGGCTAAGCTCAGTAGTTTAATGGAGGACGCGAGGGACCTGGTGGTGGATATGATTGTCGCGTCGGAGAGGGCAAGGCGGGGACATTAGGATGTCTGTGGTATGTTATTGAATCTCGAATGGACTTGTACTCTTGCTTTCGTATTTGGCTTCTCGGATGTTGTTGGAGCATATCTATTTCGTTGAGTATGTTACTGATGTGGTTTCTCTTAATGTGGCATTTGCGTCGTAGTTTATATACGTTGAAAGATGAATGAACTGATCGTGAATATATGTGCAAAGGTCCGGTTCTCCTGCCAGTAACATGTTACATAGGTGGGCGGCGTTATGTCTGAAGACATTTGTCCGACGCTGTCCGATTCGGAAATCAGATGGAATGTCAATCCAGATCTAGACCCTAGTCTGGGGTTACATATAAGTCGAGAAGCAGGTAAGATGGATCGACGTCCCCTGTAGGTGTCCATTGAACATGGCCTCGGAATCCAACAAAGAGGTAGTCGTAGTAGGAGCTGGTGGGTAATGAAACCTAGAAGGGCTAAAGGCTCTGTATACTTACTCCATTTATCCTGGTGTATAGGAGTCATTGGTCTTACTACAGCCCTAAAGATCCAAGAGAAAGGGGGATACCATGTTACCATCATAGCGGAGACATTCCCCAGCGACCCTAAGAGCATACGGTACACCAGTCACTGGGCCGTGAGTAGCAATGGTTGACGTAGTATGCTTGTGGATCGATGACATCGGCTATAGGGTGCGCATCATGTCAGCTCAGATGGAGAAGATAAACTTAAAGCAAGTGAGTCTATACGTTCATCAGCGGAGAATTGTTATGTGATTGCATGTGCTTTATAGAGGTCAACCAAGACACCTTCAAAGTGATGTGGGAAATGTCCGCGCCAGGTGGCGAGGCAGAAGGCTGCTTCCTCCGTCAGACCCAGACGGAATACTATTGCGACAAGCAGCCAAGTCCGCACCCACTCGAAGTCATGCCCGATGTGAGTCGGATGCTGCCCTCACTTTCGCTGAACGTTGATCAAGAGAGTGCCGAAAGTTCTGTTATTTAGACGAGAAGAATCTGGAACCAGATACCGTCACCGGGGTGCAGTTTACCACGGTGTCAATCGATACTCCGATATACCTGAATTACCTTTTGTCTCGGTTCCTTGCTCGCGGCGGATCCATTGTTCGTGGGTCCATACAGCATATCAGCCAGGTAGTGGAGGGCGGCGCCCGAGTGTTCACAGGGGCAAAGAGAGCCGGGGCCTCGGTCGACGCCGTCATAGTGTGCGCAGGCATCGGTGCGCGCCTTCTAGGCGGTGTCGAAGACAAAGATGTATACCCTATAAGAGGCCAAACGGTGTTACTCAAGGCGCCTTGGATACGATTCGGGCGGACCATGAGCAGTAAAGATGGGTTGTGGACGTACATCATCCCGAGACGGAGCGGGGATGTGAGTGCAATGTGCCGTAATGCTTTAAGGGGAGGTTCACCTCTAATCTTGTGTAGGTGATTGTGGGAGGCATCAAAGTGCCAAACGACTGGTGAGTAGAACCAGGCTTCACAAATACCTATCTGACCCAGCTAGGTATCCGACTCCCCGCCCAGAAACAACTATGGACATCTTGACGCGCGGCCTCGCGCTCTGCCCAGAGCTCGCACCCCAATCCATACGTGATCAGCGCGAACCCACCGTGGACGACCTGCTGCCGCTGGTGATAGAGGAAGGATGTGGTCTCAGGCCGGCAAGGAAGGGCGGCATACGCCTTGAAGTCGAGTGGCATGCCTCCGCTGACGGGCAAGGGCGAAGACTGCCCATCGTCCATAACTATGGGTCAGTTACGTGCAGACTGTCCTGCGGAAGTATTACTAACCGCATTTCAGACATGGCGGAGATGGATTCCAGGCCTCCTGGGGATCAGCGTCGGTAGCACTGGAGTTACTGGAGAATGCGCTCGCTCAGGTATGAGCCTGTCGCGAACGAGGTGGAAACAAATGTAGACCCGATCTTACCAACCCATAACGGGGTAGGTATCTGAAAGCACACCACTTGAAGCTTGAGGCTCGATCCACTCGGAGCTGAATTCACGCATCGAACGCGAGAACGGCTACAGACTGATCTCGACAACTGAGTCAAGTAATATGTCAAAAAGCGGTCGCTGCTTACTTTGAACCTCACACTAGGAGAGTGTTGTGACCGTAGTGCTCCTGCTCATCCACGCAGACTGGTTCATGATCATAATTTCCGATGACAAAACCATACATTCCACCAACAGCAGCCAATGGATTGCGCAGGGTATCCTGTACAGACGAAGTACGGATCGTAGTGTTGCAAAGGACAGATAACATGCAACAGGATGGACAACAGATAAAAGCAGAACTAGACATGATAAAGATAAAATAACATGCACGCACATCCTCGGATAGATTCCTTCATACAATCAGATCGACCCTACTCATCTGAAGAGGCACCTCTGCCACTCGTCCTTTTCTGCCTCTTTGTCTGTTGTCTAATCTTGGCCTGTTAGTAGCATGGTGAGCTTTTCGCCTTGCATATAAGGGAGATAAACATACATTTGCCTTCGTCCTCGCAGTCCTACCTAATCGTTCCGGTTTTTTCTCGCTCGCCTCATCCTCATCGGCAGTTGGCATCTTCTCGTCTTCGTCTGCCTCGTCGGATCCTACACCGGAATCCTCATTTCCTTCCTCATCGTCATCGTCATCGTCATCGTCATCGTCGTCGTCATCATCATAGTCGACTTCCCTGCGGCTCTTCTTGACTTTGGGTCGTCTGAGAGTGCACGATCACGGCGTAATCAGAAAGCGGTGACCCGAACGATTTCTTATATATATACCCACTTCGAATACCCGTTGGGCTTGGGCTCTGCCTTCCGCTTCGCAACATGCCTCCGTTCAACAGGCACCGCACGGGTCTTGTCCTGTCATCCCAGGATCAATCTGACTGACGTTATCACCTCGCCTCTGGCCCACAACGCACCTTCACCGCAATCTTCTGAGCTTTCTCAGTCAGCCATGCCATCGTCTCCGCAGGAAGATACGAAGTCTTCAAAATCTGCAGAGCATCGATAAGATAGCACAAAACCACCACATGCACCGCACTGACCTTATTCGCGACCTCGGCGTTAGGCAGAGGTCGTAAGATATCAGAGGGCAGCTTGATCTTCCCCGGATAGCTCTCCAGGTTCCAAGCCTGCGCGTGCGCCCGAGCCTTGATGAGCTCTTGAGCTAGCTCGCTAACGACGTACAGGTTCTATTGGAAGAAATTAGGTCACGGGAGTCTCTAAGGCACACAGGAGAAACTTACCTCGCTGTGCCCTGACGAATCTGCGTCGCGGACAGTCTTAGACTTCATAGCTAGGTGATAGAGGAGCGAAACATTCTCCCGCGAAGCGACCAGATCTAAGTAAAATTCGATATACCTGCACGAATTGTGTGATTAACAGTCAGCTAAAGCATTGCTTCACACTACATTCACTTACTTCGCTATATCGAGAAGGGATTCGTGCGTGTTTGCGAAGTCAGGATGATGGGCGAGAAGATGGAGCAAACGGATAAGCAGTAGCTCAAAATGTTCCAAGCGGACCGCTGCAGTTCAAGACAGTAAGCACGGACATGGATTATCATAATCTGTTCAGGTTTACCTGCGGGGAGACTGCGCAGTGCGTAAGTAACATAAGCTCGCGCCTAAACCATATCTGTTCGTCAACGCAGCCGGTGTCGAGGCTGATACTATTACAACGTACCGTCCTGATCACTTCTGGATCTGGATCAAGGGCCGTAAGGAATGGAAGGACGTTATAACGATAAGGCACTTTTTGCATCTGAAGTGCTGAAACTATTTTGCCCACGAAAGCCAGCCGTACTTTAAAGCACGAGTCCTTGATCAAAGGTGAGCTTTAACATCAGAATTGCGAGAGGACATTTGCTCGTACCTGGACAACTATAGCTAGCATGACAAAATTCGGGGCAATAGCACTCGCATACGCCGGCACAGACGCCAATTGCAGCAAAGCGGTGGCGGCTGCTAACCGTAGACGCGACTTCACTCGCGGACTGCATTATGCATTTCGTCGCATCAAATATACAAAAGAGTAGCGAGGGAACGCACTCATCCTCCGCGTCCGCTTGGAACGACCCTTCATGCTCCAGAAGGGTGACGAGCATCTTCAGCACCGGTGTAGCGATGTCTAATGCGGAATCGGATGAAGCATGCGCAAGGCATCGGTTGCGACATATCTTGATCGCAAGTAGCTTCGAACGAAGCTGCGGCGTCATATTCTCATCTGATACCCATTCGTCTTCTATCTCTGCTTGATTCTGTTCGCAAAATGAGGTAAAGGCAGCAATTCCGGCGGTCACGAAGAATGACTGACGTGTTCGAGAGATATAGGTACCATAAGCACTCCCTTAAGTAACAACGCCATGATTACGTCGCTCTTCTGCTCAAAGACAGCAGGAGCCCTGGACGCAAACTCTGCTAGGACAGCGACGTGCGCGAGCCGTTGATCCGGATCATCTTGTAGCAGGTCGTCGGAAATAGACTAGGCCGACGTCAATAATTTCTGGGAAGAGAGCACAAGGAAGGAACATACGGTGACGACCTCTTCACATAATTTGCCACGGTTCTTGCTGCAAGCCAACAGCCGCGCAGCAAATTTGGCGTGCCTATGATTTGCCCCTCGGACATACCTCGTCAATCTTTCCGTAGTGCGTCTGTGAGGTTCGTGGTAACGTAAAACGATTATGGTCGTGCGACTTCGACGAAGCGCGACTCACTTATCGGTCGGGGCAAGCTTCTCGTCCCACTTGGCCACGGCTGCGAGAGCCTGCAAACAGACCTCGACTAGCCATGGATTATTCTCATCCGCAGTGGCTTTAGTCAGCTCGGCGACATGGGGCTTGTAGATCACAGGACAATGCTTCGACACGTATGTCAGCACCACCTGTGCATGTTGGGAAGAGACCTGTAAGTCGCTCGCTTCATCCAAATCCCCGTCATCCCGGGCCTTGTGAGCTTTCTGAATACGCCTGATTAACGGAGGGATGGATGACTGATTGACGATGCGTAGGCTGCTACGGCGGAGGATATACGACATCGTAGGAACGATGGAAGAGGAAGATTGCTCGAGTCGCTTGGGAAATTCATTCTTCATGCACGATGTTGCCCAGTCAACGTTCAGCACGGATTTGAGTAATCAGGACGTACTCACGGTCGCCTTAATAAGACCCCTCAGGTCCGTCTGGGGATCCATACATGTGGAAAGTAGCTTGTAGAGCCTCCCTTCATTCAGCTTGGCGAATGCATATAGATCTTCCGAGACCTTCTGTGGATCGTGGGATTGACCTGGAACGTGATGAGTCCTCCTGTGAGCTTAGTACTATATGAGCCAGCTCACGTGCTATCCGCTGGATAGTAGCATTCAACCTGGCAGTCACCGCGTCCTCGTTTTCATCGATGATTCCTCCCTAGCAGCATGATTGGTATACTGAGAGATTGGATACCCGACAGACTCACATTGTATTCGATGCAGCATTGTACGTATCTATCGTATGGGCTAGGACGCCTGCATTCCATCATGCATCATGAATGATTAGCCGAGGAAACACAACAAGCACTCACGGAAGCTTCAAACCAGACATAGCCAATAGAGCGTTGATAGCAGAGGTATCCAGGTACTTCATGGTTGTGAGAAGCCGATCCACCCACGCAGCTTCGTCTACGTCGATGTTCTTCGAGGACGACGGCGTTGGGGGGGAGGGGAACGGGAGAATGTGCTCAACAATTATTTGCTCGGCGAGAGTCCTGAGAGTCAAGTGGTATGACTGGGATGTCGGACAGGCTCCGACATAGCGAAACGCACCTGACTTCTGGACCAAGCTTCAGAAGGTGGAGTGTTTCTTGAGGAATCCACGAGAAATGACTAATTGCTCGTGGGTCGTTATTCTCGCTTGACAAAAGTGAGTAACGAGAGTTCAAGAGAGGTGCGGCATCCTACATTTCGGGATATGCTAGGCCGTAGAGATGTCCCAGTGTATTCAGTGCTTCAGACCGGACCGAGTGCTTCCATCGAAAGAATTCAGTACGGAGAGATTGCTGAGAATGAAAGTGATGTGATTACCTTCTTGTCAGCACCTCTGCCGGCAAGCAGTCTTAACTGCTCTTCCGATACATGGTGCACCACCGTCTCGTAATCGAGTTGGCCATATACCCTGCACACCGCTGCGCGCACCTTCTCGTCCGGGTCCAACAATTTCGATTGTAATGCCTCTGCAACAGCCATGTTCGATATATTGACGAATCGCAAGAGTTACTTCCGTACCTTCAATCGCCCTATGAATTTCCGGGGGCTGAGAAATTAAACCCTTGGCCACCTCGACAAGCGCTAGCCGAACCGCTGGCGTCCGGTCATTCTTCCGCGATAGCCAGAATTGCCAAGTACTAGGATACTTCCTGACCAGATCAGGGCCGTTTATGTCCGCGAACATTTCCCCGAGGACCTTCGTAGCCATGACACGTAAGGAAACGAGCTCGACCTTGAGCTCCTCCTCTAGCTGCGGGATCACGTTGTGTAGGAGGGATGGACATGAATGGTTGAGCTTCTTAATAAGGTCATGGGCCGCCCCGATTTGCTCCAGTTCCTCGTCCTCGGAATTGTCAATAATGATTTCCGAAAAGTACTGGCAGACATGCCGCTGCAGTTTGTCTGCGGTGGCGTTGCATACTTGAACAGCCAGTCGGTATGCGGGCTGATCCATGCGCTGTGACAGAATGAGAAAAAGGGCCGCTTACGATCTGCAATTTCACTCAACTGTATTCTTATCCATGAATTGAGCCATGAGTGCTTTCAACGCATCACTTGGCATGCTCTGACTCTCGTCGATCAATGCAACCAAGATGTCCGCCATAAAAAGTTCGATCTTCTTGGGCAAATCGCGGCGGACGATGCCAAAGAGAGCACGAAACACCTCGGTTATGAGCGCATCGGCGCTCTGAAGATCGCAGATCAGGACAACGGATTTCACGGTCGAGAGAGACTCTAGCAGGTGGAAATATTCATTGTAGTAGGCGCAGTCGGCACCCTGAAGGCCAGCCGTGAGTTGCTTGAAGAAGAATTGAAAGATATCCCGTAGTTCCGTGTGCGTGTAGGGTGCATCCGGCGCGTAGAGCCTCAGGATGTCTGCCAGGCAGCAGGCGGCGTACGCCTTAACGCCCCGGTCCTTATGCAGCAAGATAGAGGCATTGACAAGTTCCTTCCGGACGGCAGAGAGCGAATTGACGTCCACAAGTTCCTGGTCGAGTTCGGCCAGCTCAGTATGGAGACTTTTCAGCTTTTTCACTAGCGCATCGGTGGAAAGGCCTTTGCCAATGAGCTTGTCGTTGAACTTCAGCTTCTTGTGTGTGTTCTGACCGCCCGCACGCGTCGCCACCATGGTCGCCAGAGGCAAAGGCTTGTGGCAATCGTTTCGCGATCAGCGCGTCTAAGACGCGTCGTGCTTACATAAAGCGTGCATGCTTGTAACTTACAACGCGGTGTAACATTGAATACTTTAAACCATGCCTCCTCCCGGTGTCCCTGCGAAACGGCAGTTACCCTCAAAGGAACAGAGCTTATTCAAAGAGCTCTTGACTCTGTATGAAACACGGCAATTGAAGAAAGGCATAAAGACTGCCGATCAGATCCTCAAAAAGTTTCCAGAGCACGGAGGTACGAAAGGACTAAGTGCGACTCAATAGACGATGCTGAAGCTGTATAACATTTAGAGACACTATGTATGAAAGGTCTTTTGCTCACGCACTTGGGAAGGCGAGAGGAGGGGAGAGAAGCTGTGAAGACGGGCCTCCGGATGGACTTGACCTCGCACATATGCTGGCATGTATTCGGCCTTATTCAGAAAGGAGAGAGGAATTATGAGGAGGCCCTGAAGTCATATACTCAGGCTCTGCGCTTTGATAAGGCACGCTATACTCCGCTACATCGCATCCTTACTGACCGCTAGGCGAACCACTTAAAACCAAACAGGAAAACTTGAATATCTTGAGAGATGCGGCCAACTTACAGACTCAACTACGTTTATACGACGGCCTTGTGGAAACGCGGCATACTCTGCTGCGGCTCCGTCCACAGCTTCGACAGAATTGGATTGCGCTTGCCGTGGCTTATCATCTTAATGGGCAACTCTCGGATGCAAAGCAGGTTCTCGAAGCGTATGAGAAGACGCTGAAGGTTAGTGACATCCCAAGCATGTCCTTGAAGCTCTCTCCATATGCCTATGCAGAATGTGCCAGATTACGACGTGGAGCATTCAGAAGTCCTCCTATATCATGTACGCTTACTCGAAGATCTCGACGAAAATTCAGAAGCGTTGTCGCTGCTTGATACCAGCGCAAAGTCGAGGGCAATTGTTGATCGTAAGGCCATAATGGAATATCGAGGTAGGGTAGTCGACCGCACCTATTTTATGGTTGTTAATGATTCAGCACAGCTCGTCTATTATCCAAGCTGGGGCAAACTGACGAGGCCGAACATGCTTGGCGAGCCCTGATTGAACAAAACCCGGATTGCATCGAATATTATAAGGGATATCTTAGCAACAGAGGTATTTCCTTTGGTGCGTCTTTGCTAATCATCTTGGGTAGTATCGACTTCTCATCGATCCAATCAGATTCACTCACAGATGAGACCCGTGCAGAAGCCGCACGGATTCTTCGTGACTTCTCTCAGCAGATCCCTCGCGGAGGACGCGCGCGTCACCTTGCCTTAACAGTGTCCACTGGTCAGTCACTCAAACACCGTGAAGTAAACGATCTGATATTGTTGGCCAGGGGACGAATTCAAGGAGCTTGTCAAGGAATATATCACGTCTGGGCTATCGAAGGGCATTCCATCCCTATTTGCTGATCTCAAAACTCTCTACAAGAATCCTGCGAAGCAAGAAGCTATCGAGGAGACAGTAGAAGAAATACGCGGATCCCTTTCGTCCGCTCGTGAGTCTTTCGAATCCCGTTGTTGTTAGCATGAACCTATTCACACAGAACTCTGTGACGCGTACATGCAGCGTCAGAGGCGGAACCGACAATGTACCTCTGGACTCTCTACTTTCTCGCCCAACACCATTCGTTCCTCGGTAGACAATCTCGTGCTTTGTCCTTGCTCGAAGAAGCGTTCAAGCATACGCCGACTTTGCCTGAATTGTACACTTGCAAAGCGCGGGTATTGAAGCGATCCGGTGACTACTACGGTGCAGCGAAGAGTCTGAACGACGCGCGTCTGTTGGATGGTCAGGATCGATTCCTGAACACCAAATGTGGGAAGTACAGACTTAGAGCCGGGCTAATCGAGGAAGCCAGTGAGATCTTCGGGCTGTTCACGAAGGTGCGGAGACATTTTTGTAGAATGGATGTACGAATTTCTCATCATGCGATTACTCAGAAAGATGCCGCGAGTCCCGCAGCAGATCTCGAGGATATGCAGTCGCTGCTGTTCCTGGTTGAGGACGGAGACGCGTATAACCGGAATGGTAATTTAGGCATGGCATTGAAGCGGTATCATGCAGTGCAAAAGGTAGCTTCCCTGGTCCATTCACTTGGTTTTGAACCATTCAGAGTCATAAGCGGGACATCGCGGTTAATCGATAGTGGTAGGTCTTTGACGAATATGAGGACGACCAGTTCGACTTCCACTCCTATTCCATCCGAAAGTTCACGATAAACGTTTACCTTGAGTGAGCCTTCCCATCCTCGCTGATGGCCCTTTCCATCCGCCTCTAACCTGTGATATCTCCATCCTGCAGGATGATACATTGGGAAGACCAGCTTCGTTCAAACCCGGCATACGTCCATGCGGCTCTCGCTGCGTCGCAGGTTTGTATGTATTCCATGTCTCCGGCTCACCGCTCATACTATGCCCAGGTGTATATTCGACTTCACGACGACCCAGCTCTTGTAGCTTCTCTCACTGCGCCAGGTAAGTGCTATACCGATACCACAATGCTAATTTATGTGCGACCGGATCATCCACAGCTGCTTTGAGCGATGCGGAAAAGAAGGCCAAGAACAAGGCCAAGAAGGCGAAAGCGGCGCAGAAACAGGAGGAGGCCAAGAAAGGTCAGTCGCTGCTCGGTCTTCTATGGTCCACAGACTGATGTTCTTCTCGGACTACAGCCTCTAGCTCACAGAGCAATGAGGACAAAGGTCTTGAGCCGGCTCCTCCACAAGACGAAGACCCGCATGGGACTAAGTTGGTCGAAGCGGCTGATAGACTGGACAAGGCAGCTGCATGGCTCAAACCCTTGCAAACTCTGGCTAAAGACAATATTGACGTGTGGATTGCTGTTTACGATGTCGCGGTGCGCCGTGGTGAGTAGATAGCAGGCTTAGTGGAGGATGGTTGTGCTCATTTTGCCCAGACAAGCATCTCCAAGCGATTAAAGCTCTCAGCCACGCTCGACAGTTGGACCCTGAGAATCCAGAGCTTCACCTAAGATTAATTGATGCCCGGAAGAGAGGCAAGTCCACGCTTGACTAGTCAGCCTCCCGTGTTTAACGTGTTTAACGACTACCAACTTAGCGTTGCCTTCTGCAAGCGCGCCAGCTCTCGAACCGGTCGTATCCGCGTCCTTGCAAGAGCTGATCCCTGACACCGTATCATTGGAGACGTATAACTCGCAGTATCTTCAAAGACATTCGACATCGCCGAAGGCTATTTTAGCAAGTGCCCGAGCGTTGCGTCGACTGGAGGCGCCCGTAGAGGAAATTGAGAACACTGTCTTCAGCCTTCTGAACGCGGAGATCGAGGTTACCGTCAAAGTAAGTCTTTGCCTCCGCGATATACGACTCTTAATGTGACGCGCCTTCGGAAACAGACTGCACTCGCTGCTCTGGCGTTCCTGCAAGAGATCCAGGCTCCCAGGGCGGAGGAATTCCGCACGACATGTGATGCCAAGTTCGAGCTTTCAACGGCGTTCAAATCCTCAGAGGAGCTGGCTGCTCTGCGTCGATGTGTGATCAATGGTACATTAGAAAACGAATCCGCTCAACCAGATGCGGAGGTTCTGAGTTAACCTCTACCGCCACAAGCGATTCCTGTTCCCACTAGATATTGAGCGCAGGCACAGTGCTACTACCTACATCTGTAGACTCTACATGTGCTATTTCAGCTGCGAATACCAGACGCGAATATTGACTCGATTTTGACCTTCAAGTCGCGATTTTGAGGTCAGTGACAGGTCACACCTTTGTCACGACTGTACAGTATCTGCCCGGCAGCCTCCGCGCATTCTCAGTGATAGTCCAATATTACTCACGGCGACGGCCAAGCTCGTACTCGACACAGTCCGGTCAAGATGGTCAACATTCCCAAGTGAGTCCACGCATGATTCCTGCGCAATGTAACGTTGACATATCTGTTCACTCAGGACACGCCGGACGTGTGAGTTGAAAGCACAGAGTTTGGTACAAGGCACATACTGATGACCGCATAGACTGCGCTAGCAAGAACTGCAGGAAGCACACGTACGTCCTTCATCTGCTCAACTCTCATCGCATGCTCAGATTAGTGGATGCAGTCCCCACAAGGTGACGCAGTACAAGAAGGGCAAGGATTCGCTGGTCGCTCAGGGAAAGCGCCGTTACGACCGTAAGCAGACGGGTTATGGTGGTCAGAAGAAGCCTGTCTTCCACAAGAAGGTGCGTAGTTTCACTCTATGCAAGCGTAAGCTTGAGTCAAGCCATTGTGCATCAGGCCAAGACCACGAAGAAGGTCGTGCTCCGGCTAGAATGCACAGTGTGCAAGTACAAAATGCAGCTGTCCCTCAAGCGATGCAAACAGTGCGTTCTCCTTAATCTTCTGATAAATTTATCTGACTCGCGTTCAGCTTCGAGTTGGGTGGTGAGAAGAAGACGAAGGGTGCTGCTCTTACTTTCGTGCGTATCTGCTTGCCTCAATACTATACCTTTACTAACCTTGCCGTCTCTCGATCGATAGTGAGCGTGTACGGAATGTTGGCCGTCCTCTCCCCCTTCCTCCTTGTTGTTGTGCTACCGCCTCATCGCCACACTATGATATGCGATTGGTCATGCTGTCGTCTCTTACTATGAGTAATCCATGTACCATACCGGGTGCTTTCCCGGAATCATGCAGTGACACCGTCCGGGTAGAGGACCCGATGCAGCAGCGGCTGATTGGGGTGCAGATGGATATGTTAATATCGAGTCTCGGACGTTCCCCCTCAAACGCGCTGATCCAGTTAGCGGTATGCAGGAAATTTACGCCCTCCCCCTCCCCCCGACATCACTGGAACAGAATTATGAGATTCAAAGACAAGCCATTTGACATTCATATACGCCGTCTTACAGCCCGAGAACGGTCTTAGCACTCGTTCTTCACTATATGTATGTATGTCATCCGAGGCCACACATTGTGAAGCTCTCATTCGAATTTCGAACGCCTAGATTTCGGGAAGGTGTCGCATCTGGAACAGAGAATCCCGTTATACGCTGGGTCTCGTCTTCCAAACTGCACCCGCTTTCTGCTCTTGTGAAGACGCCAGGGCAACTGCCACCGGGGCCTCGTCTCAAATCCAACTAAAATCTAAGTAAGGCGACGAGGCTCGATGAGAGAGGTTGCTATGGAGGATAACCTTCGATGCCATCCTGGAGATATTCGTAATCTCATGCAGAAGACGAAATGATCATCAAGTCGCCTTGACGGGTTACTTACCAGCAATTCGCAACTTTAACCACTCCAGATACCCAAAGGAATTCCTCTAGCGTACCATACGCGGGTACGTTCTCAGCGGGGATGCGCAGAAGCTGGACTACGTACGAGAAGACCTGGGGACATTGAAGTTCAGCCGTATTCCAACTGCTCCAGGTATTCGGCCAGACGTCCGGTATGGTGGACTCCTCCATCTGCGTCTCGTCCCAATAGCCTGCGGTTGCGGCCCGCGCACAGGGTTTGCGTCATGTGTGCCGGGAACGCGACGAAGGTGCCCGGATCGGTAAGTCTGCTGAAATGTTGTGACCAGATGGCATTGTTCTCATTGGTTCGGCTTCGCCAGCAATTGACCGACCACAGGAAATGTCGATGTTGCGCGACTTGTCTAGCGTGCTACTACTCTCTCCAAGGGCCAAGATTGAAGTCATACCGCTGCATGAATCGCGTGTGCGATCATGACTCGAAAGGATCTAGCAACGAGTTGGTCATTATCTCCCGATTGGATGTGCGCGGACGGTTCGGGCTCTGTCCCGCGACTCCCGCCTCAGGTAAGTAAGTGATACTGCCGGACGATACGCCAGGATCCTTCGCGGCTTGTCAGCACGCCTTAGACTGATGTGTGGAACAACGAATACTCGCTGTAGATAATGGGGATGGAAAGTGGTGATCTGGTGAGATATTCATATTGCACTGAGCGGTTCAGCGCCTGACAGGATGACAGAGTAATGCTGCAGTATGTCACGCGACATGTTCTATGCAAAAGGGTACGTATGTCCGCCCTTGCACCCATGAGAAAATGCAGGCTAAACCGAAGTGGATGCATTAGTAGCATATGCCCATAGGCTCATTTTCGAGTCGCTATAGCGCATCGCGGTGGTGTAACCCCATTCGCTCACCTGGGGCGGGAGTCAACGGCTCCTGCGGGGTCAGCAGGCGCTTCGCCGCTGTACAGTCCTGGATCAGCTCCCGGTCTCTCATGCCATCCACTACTCGCTTTAGCGCACCTTCATCGCCCCACCCCCCACAGGCAGATATCCAGTGCAGTGTACACGCACCCTCAGAGACACATAGGGGGCGCCACCAAGGTTCTTCTTTTCAGGGAGACCAGATGGCGTGCAAAATCAAATTTCGGGATCCACTAAGTACTGTACGACAGTACGTTTCGAGCCTCCACGCATTTGTCCTGCTGCTCCCGCGAAAGCACGGCATGTCGACACCCACCATTGCCGTGTTGGTGTTCGGAACTCCAGTTGCAACTTACTCACTGGTGAAGACTTAGGGTTCAGTCGAGTTCGCAGACACGAGGATCCGGGGCGCAAGACGGCCATCGCACCGTTCCATGCATCGGGATATATTTATCTTCGGAGACGAGTGTCTCGGAGGTTGCACACGGTCAGTAAGAAAATTGCCGCACATCTGGCTCGGGACCGATGCCTGATGGAGGAAAAGCTGACGAAAGTGCAAAGTTCGGGCTGGGACGCGGGGAGCGTAGCGGGATGAGCATCGCCAGGCACACAGAGCAGCTGGCTCGGGACTTCGAAGGACTTCGACGCGGAGAAGAGGGAGGCCGGCGCCGCTAATGCGCCCTTGCTTGGCTGAGTCCGGGTTAGGAGACGCGACTCCCAAATATGATTCGTCGAAGGCAGGAGTGCGAGGAGTAGGTGGTTGCCTGCATCATTGCCCAACGCAAGATGGCTATCCAGCGGCCCCGTATGCGCATGCAAGCGGGAGGTTCGCGGGTGGGGCTCGGGCCCGCTCTGGTCTTCCTAAGGCTGGCGAAGGTATGCATCGATGAGCAATATCAGGTACGAACGTGCTGGCTCGGGACTTCGAAGGACTTCGACACGGAGACGGCGCCGCTAAGGTGGTCCTGTCCGAGGCCCGAGACTTGTCCGAGCGGATTTGATTGAGAGCAGGTTAGGAGACGGGGCTCCCAAGACGGCGCGAGGCAAGGAGTAGGTGGCAGCCCGCGTCACTACCAACGCAAGATGGCTACACAGCGGAGTGGGCGACCGCTTTCCCGTATGCGGGAAGGGCTCGGGCCGTCGTGGCTGACGAAGGGATGGGCATCGCCAGGTACGAGCGCTGGCTCGGGACTCGGAAGGACTTGGACGCGGCGATGGCGCTGCTAATGCGCCTTCTCGTCCGGGGCCGCAGACTTCAAGGCCGAGCGGCATTCAGGTTAGGTTAGGAGACGAGCGCTCCAGGACGATGCAGACGCAGGCATCGGGTGGTGGCCTGCCAGTGCATCAATACCCGACGCACGATGGCTGTCCACACAGCGGATCGGGCGTGCGCGTTCCCGCGAGCGGGGAGGGCTCGGGACCGCCAGGGTTGATGCCCTTCCCATTTCGCTCTTGCCTGAATCTGAATCGTGCTACTATGGCCTGAGATTTTTCATTGTTGATCGTGGCTACGACGGCCAGGCACCGCGATTGGCGGGCGAGGTGCTGGAATTGCCAATGGGCGGTGAAATTCCGGAGGGCGATTCGGTGTAGAGATCTTGCTGATGGATGCACGTCCTGGGTATTGGTGTGTGGCGGTTGGTGCGGTTAGCTCGGGGTTGGATGGGAGGGAGCGGTGCCGGTGAGTGCAGCCTGGAGCGTTCACCTATCGATTTCAGCGCTTCCTGTTCTTCCGCACTCTTCTCACTGGAGCATGCTTATGGAGTAACAGTGAAACAAGCTACTCTGAGCCAAAACATACACTGTACGGTCGGGGGCAGTACAGCGCGATCAATTGTGCGGCCGCCTGAGAGGATGGCTGAGGCTGTTTGGTGTTTGCTACTTATCTCTCGCGGGACCGCGAGAGGTGATACGATACATACATATCTTTGATGCACCGACGAATGGCAGGCCGGGGACCCCAGAGAGCTGCGCTGGGGATACTCGGAGGTGTGTGCGCGGAGGAGGGGAACGTCCGATTGACTGCATGGAAGACGTATGGGAACTTGGGGTTGCTTGTTTACTAGGTTGTGTCATTCCAGTCAGGGATGTGTTGGTCCACTATAGAACGGGGCCTAGGTTGTGAGTTGAATGGTTGTCCGGAGGTCCTGTATCGAGTCTCGCCATTGATCCTGACCGGCTCTTCTCAAATTAGCAGCGTCGGGCGAATGAAATCCTTCCATAGACTCGGACGTTCAAGTAATTGTCATCGGTGCTCCTCGCCACTGTCAGAGATATGCGAGTAGAAACTAGACTATCGCGACACATGGCGCGAGAGCTGGACTAGAAGGGGTCGCTTATTCGGCCGTCAGCCTAATCGCTATAGGCAGGGTGTAGGGGCGCTAAGATAGTTTCATAGAAAATGTACTATACATAATAGCGACGTACAGGATGACTGTGCTATGATAGTCCGGAATACATGAGGTGCTGCATCGTACCTATGACACCGGTGACGCCCAGCAAGGAACGGCCATCTGGCAAGAGGACGGCTTACCCTGGCAGGCCGCACCCAGGGACCGACATGATCATCAGAAGCAGTGGCCGTATACGGGCGGCGTCAGGCTTGCAATTGCATTTGCCTCCGACGGCCTGTTATCTTATCTGGGCCGCTGATCTGGAAGGCATTATGGTAGCGCCTTGTACGGAGATGGCAAGTAGTGCTGTACAGACGTCAGCGCTAGTGAAGAATGCCTCCGATGATGCAGGTGCCGAGCCCGGTCCTGCTATATGCCCTCAGGCCGCTCGCCAGCAGGCAGAAACATGTTTGACTGCCATCGGGTTCCGATCGGTCCGCTGGGCCTCCGTGTGCATAGGACAACGCTCAAGATCCTCAGATAGAAGAACGCAGAGACTAGTGACGAGGGACGTGTATTGTGTATTTTGGCTTTCGGCAGGAAGGAGCTCGGACTTAGCGGCCGCATAAACAAAAGGCGATGAGGAAGGATGAGACAGACCCCAAGACAAGTTACAGAGTCGTATGAGCAGGTTAGGACAAAACAGGCAGTCGGAGAATAGACAAGCTCTTTTGTTGCTACGGGGGCGAGACAGGCCAGTCATTGTGGCCGCGAAATGAGGGCGAGGGGCACCTCCAATCCAGAGCGAAAACGAGAAGACGGTCGCAGACGTGTGGAACGCTTGGAACGGTGTCGGCGCGTATATGTAGCACCACCGAGGCTGTCGAAACGAGGATGCGGCCGCATTGGCGAGGGAGGACGACACAGGAATGGACGGCGAGTGCCCGGCGCGAAATGCAAACGCGATTGGCGGGGAAGCGGGGCGCCACAAATGGCAGAGCCAATCGCGTTGCGGGGCCTTATGTCAGTGGGACTGCCCGGGGTCCCGGCCGCCCGTAACGGGCGCAGAGTAGAGATAAAATGGTTCGACTGCTAAAACACAATTCGCTGTTCTCTCCTGTCTGCTCTGTTTCGCGTCGTGTCTGCTGAAGGGCTGCCCGTATTTTTATTCGTATTCTACGCGCTATTCGTCACTAGTGGAGTAGAAAAGGCACGTACGTTTCCGCTGACAGCGAGGGACATTAATTTGATACGCCCTATCCCCACACTCACACGCAGTGAAACAGCACTTTTTATTCTGCACGCACCGAGGCCCAGGGCTCTGCATCTCCCCCAACCGTCCCAATAGTCGCCACCATGCGCGCGTTGTTGCGCCCGCTCGCAAAGAACGCCGTCGCGCTCCCTATTGAGACCATCGTCTTCTTCTTCGTCGCGACCACCCTCGCCTACTTCCAGCTCCTCTCCGTCATCAAGCACTCCTCATGGCTCGCCCCGTCCGCCGCGCCCGAAATCCGCCCGGCGAACGTTCTCTATCGTGAGGGCGAGTGGGTCAGCGTCGGGGAGAGCGTATGGATGGGCGGAGTCGTCGACGAGAGCGTGGATGCCCTTGAGCTGCAGCAGATCGTCTTCTCCCTGGACGCGCCCAAGCCGGCTGGCAAGCCCAAGAAGGTGAGCAGCCTGTCATCACACGTTGCAGAACATAGACGCTCACGCTGCGCGCAGGCATCCAAGTCAGAGTCTGCGCCCGTGGACTCTGCCCTCGTGGAGAACTCGGTGAACCACCTCATCGCGCACCTGACGCACCAGTTCCCGTCCCTCTCCGGCTACAAGTACCCCGCGCTGTGCTCGCCCAGCGCGCTCAACGGCACCGCCGATGCGTCCGCGTGTTTCACGTCCGTTACCGTCCAACCCCGCTCGACGATCCTTACCCTGTCGTTCACTCCCGGTGCGCGCGACGACTTTGTCGCCGCGCTGAAGCACCACGCCAGCTTTGGGAGCGATGCCAACGGCGTCAGCTTCCACGTCGAGGAGCAGCAATCCGAGAATATTGGCCAGATGAAGAGCGGCAAGTGGGTCGCGTACGCCCTGCGCGCGCTCGTCATGCGTTTCTGGGAGCTGACCAAGGTGAGATGGGCTCCCTTCGCCCTATATGCATCGTTTACTCACTATATGCGCCTCGCCCTCAACAGAAAGCGGACTCGCTCGACATCATGCTCGTCCTCCTCGGCTACGTCCTCATGCACCTCACCTTCATCCGGCTCGTGCTGCGCTCCCGCGCGCTGGGCTCCAACTTCTGGCTCACGACTGCCGTGCTCTCCTGCGGCATCACGTCCTTTGTGCTCACGCTCTGCATCTGCGCGTACCTGCGCATCCCGCTCGACCCGGTCAGCCTGAGCGAGGCGATGCCGTTCGTCGTGTGCACTGTCGGCTTCGAGAAGCCTTTGCGCCTCGCGAAGGCGGTGTTCCGCAACCGGTACGTGACGGAGCCCGTCGAGGCGCCGAGCCCGGGCAGCAGAAGCGGCGCGGACACGCCCGCGCTGCGCTCGGGCATGCAGACGCCCCGCGCGGGCCAGATGAAGAGCGCGAGCGAGGTGATCATGGAGGCGTACGACGCGGTGGGCAACTCGATCTTGAGGGACTATGCGCTCGAGATTGCGGTGCTGTGTGGGGGGATCTGGAGCGGTGTCGGGGGCTTGAAGGAGTTTTGCGCGCTCGCTGCGGTTCTGCTGACTGTAGACTGTGTGGTGCTGAGCACGTTCTACGTCGCGGTGCTCGGTGTCATGGTTGAGGTGAGTGCGAGTTCCGTTTTTGTCCGGGTTTCGGGTCTGGTGGTCATTGTCTGGTTATCTTTCGGATCTTTTCTTTTTTCTGTACTGGGCTTGCTCCATCGCTGGCTGCCGCTTTCTGCGTCGGATGCCAGATGGGACGGTGGGGTGGTGGGCGTTCAGAGGTGATCCCAGGCATGGATGCTTTGGGAGTAGATATGGGGTGCGGGCAGTGTCAGTTTGACTCTGGTCGAAGGCCAGTTTATCATGTGCGAAGGCCAGAAGCAGATGGGGACGGCACGTGACCGGTCATTGGACCCTAGTCCCTTCCCCGAGCGACCTTTCCTCTTTCGTGTTTACGTCTGCTTTACGCTTTGTGTTGTGCTCGATATATGCTGCGAACGATGGTACTGACAAGTGTCTTCCCTCTATAATAGGTCCGCCGCATCAAGCGCTTCAGGTATATCGCGCGGACGCTGGCTCAGCAGTACGCAAAGGCTACGCGCAAGCCAAAGGGCTCCGCTGCTGTCGACGATGATGATGACGAGGAGCCCATCCCGATTACCAGCAAGAACATGAGCTTCCGCGAGCGCCTTACCGCTGCCATTCTTGGTGTCAAGGGCAGCATGCTCAAGCAGCACCAGGGTGTGCGTCCCGGCCTGGAGGCCCAGAAGGAGGACGAGGAGAGCCCTGTTGCAAGGCTCAAGCTGCTTTTGGTGAGTGTTCATGTTTCGGTTAGGGTATAGAAGGAGGTTTTGATGATACGTGTGCAGATCGTGTCATTCTTGACGCTACATATTTTGAACTTGTGCACGACTCTGGCGCCCGCGACCGCGGCTGCTCGGTATAACAACAGAGTGTACGGCGACCAGCCTATCCCCGCTGTCCGCAAGGTCGATATCACCAGCCCCGTCATCTCGAAGGTGCTTTCTGACATTGCGGTTGCGCACGCTACGCCGCTGTCGAACGACAGCGCTGCGCTCGACACCGTCGAGAAGGACCTGCTCGTCAAGGTCGCGCCTCCCGTCTACGTGCGCATCGTCCCGCCCACATCTACTCGCGGCGCGAGTGCGAAGGTCGAGCAGTTCTTGGAGTCATGGACCGGCATCGTCGCGGATCCGATCATGAGCAAGTGGATCGTGGCCATCCTCGCGGTCAGCATCGCCTTGAACGGGTTCTTGCTCAAGGGCCTCGCGTTCACGTCGGGCTCGACCGCTGCACAGCCGCCGTTCATGTCTGCGAGTGCTGCCGCCGTCATCTCGCCCATGCCCGAGCACCTCGGTGCTCAGCCGCTCAGCCTGGAGGACATTGATCGCAAGCTGGAGAAGGCGCGGGAGAGGCCGCAGCAGTTGCCTGCGCTGCCGCCGGCCCCGAGCTCGAGCAGCTCGTCCGAGTCGTCCACGCCGTCAAGCCCTGGTGAGGTGAAGAAGGTGTCGGAGGTGTCGAGGGATACCGTGCGCTCGCTACAGGAGTGCATTGATATCTTTGAGAATGGCCCGCGTCCCGTTTCGGTGTCGTTGTCGCTGTTGAACGACGAGGAAGTTATTCAGCTGTGCCAGGCGGGCAAGATTGCTGCATATGCGCTTGAGAAGGTGTTGGGTGATTTGGAGCGGGCTGTCGCTATTCGGCGGGCTTTGATCTGTAAGTTGGTTGGCGCTCTTGGTGGTGATCGAGTTGCTTATGGTGTTGGTTTGCAGCTCGTGCATCGAAGACTAAAACCCTGGAACACTCCATTATTCCCATGTCTCAGTACGACTACTCGAAGGTATACGGCGCGTGCTGCGAGAACGTCGTTGGCTACATCCCGCTTCCTCTCGGTATCGCCGGTCCGCTCAAGATCGACGGTGAACTGTACCCGATCCCGATGGCTACCGCTGAGGGCACCCTCGTCGCGTCCACTTCGCGCGGATCGAAGGCCCTGAACGCCGGCGGAGGCGTCACGACGGTCGTCACCTACGACTCCATGACCCGTGGCCCTGCCATCGACTTCCCGAGCATCACCGAGGCCGCGCGCGCCAAGGCTTGGATCGATTCGGACGAGGGCAACGCCATTCTGAAGGAGGCTTTCGAGTCGACGTCGCGCTTCGCCAAGCTGCAGAGACTCAAGTGCGCGATGGCTGGCCGGACGCTCTACGTCCGCTTTGCCACTACCACCGGCGATGCGATGGGTATGAATATGATCTCGAAGGGGACCGAGAAAGCGCTCGAGGTCCTGCAGGCGAAGTTCCCGGACATGATTGTCCTCGCGCTGTCGGGCAACTACTGCACGGACAAGAAGCCCGCTGCGATCAACTGGATCGAGGGCCGCGGCAAGAGCGTCGTCGCTGAAGCTGTCATCCCCGGCAAAATCGTCAAGAGCGTGCTCAAGACCACCGTCGAGTCGCTGGTGAACGTCAATGTGAAGAAGAACCTCATCGGCTCGGCGATGGCGGGCTCCATTGGTGGCTTCAACGCGCACGCGGCGAACATCTTGACGGCTATCTTCCTTGCTACCGGCCAGGACCCCGCGCAGAACGTCGAGAGTTCCATGTGCATGACTCTCATGGAGCCGTGAGTGATCTGGTCTGATATATGATGCTCTTCGTGCTGATTGCTTTCCATGACAGAGTCAACAATGGCGAGGACCTTCTCATGACTGTCTCCATGCCTTGTATCGAGGTCGGCACAGTCGGCGGTGGTACTGTCTTGGGTCCTCAAGGCGCCGTCTTGGAAATGCTCGGTATCAAGGGCGCCCACCCTACGGACCCCGGCCAGAACGCCCAGCGCTTGGCCCGTATCATCGCCGCTGCTGTCATGGCCGGCGAGCTGTCGCTCATCAGTGCGCTCGCCGCTGGCCACCTCGTCCGCGCCCATATGGTGCACAACCGGTCGCAAGTCAACACCCCCGCTGTCTCCCGCCCCGTCACGCCCGGCCCTGGCACGCCGAGCGGCACGTTATGGGCAACGGGCTCAAAACAGAATCCTGGCAGGGGTATTCTGAGTCCGCTAGCTCTGAGTAGCAGAACACCTTCGAGCGCGTCAGTCGCTGCGCCCGGATACAACCTTGGGTCGATGGCAAAATCATGAAGTCATTTTGTCCTCGGTTCTCCCATGCATCTGTGATGCTTTCGCGTCGCGTTACACGTACCTTACGATTGACTCGCATAAATTCTTACTTGTAGTGTATTAGTCGCCTTGCTTCTTGGGGTTGTAACCTTTAGCTTTCGTCCGCATTCCTTACCAGAGGCTTAGACACGGAATATGCGTCGGACAGATCACGTAAATTATGCAATTCGATGATGAAAACAGTACAATGGATTTGTGTGTGTGTGTGTGGGGCGTAAGCCGATGTCGAGAGGACAGGATGGTAAAATACAACTACGTTAGATCGATGATAATATCTGAGCGGATGTGCATCTTGGGTTTAGACTGAACTGCACTAGGTTTGGAAGCAGCGGGGCGTTGCCTCGCCTTAGCCATCAGCAGCGGGGCTAATAGCATACGAGGCTCGGGAATATCGGAGTCGCTAGAGACGTCGATCACCTCGGACGCAGCTGCAGGTGGTTGCTTGGGCTTCAGCGACCGGGTACCAGATTTCCCTCGAGGTGAAGGGGATACAGGTCTCCGCTCCTCATGTCGGTTCTTGGTTTGCCTTGAATGGGGCGACGAATGACTGGTTGAGCTCCGAGGTGACTTGCGGTCAGTGTCAGAATCGGTCGTGGAGACTCGACTGCGCCCCGTTTTGCGAGGACTTCTGAGAGACGCGAGTGTGTGCGCCTCAGAGTCGCTCTGATCTTCTTCCGTGCGAGGTAAAGATGGAGGTGGTCTTGGCTGGAAACCCAACCCTCGAGGCTTGATGACAGGAGCGAGATCGTACGTCTCACTGCCGCACTCCTCTTCCTGCAGTAATGGGACCTGTCGAGACGCAGTGCGTCGGGACTCGCCTCCCTTGGAGGCGGAGGCGGAGGCGGAGGCGGTACGATGTCTGCTGCCTTGCGTCACGGGATGAAGGTCCACGAGGGTCTTCTGCTTTGAAGACACCCCTGACTTCTTCGATGTCGTAGCACTAGCTGCCGCGCGTCCAACGATAATGTCTTCTGATCCTGAGCTCTCGTCCTCTTCGACTATGTCGACTCTAGGCTTCGCCAAGCGTCGTCGGGATCCACTTCCCGACTTTGAGCCTACAGGGGACTCGGTGGCCTCGACCCTAGCAGAGAGGTGATCTCCGGAACTGTCACTTATATCGAAGACATGTCTGTCCTTCGACGATAAGACCTTCCTGGAGGTACTAGCTTTAGGTCTCGCCTTAGACGGCGTAGACGGGCTTTCATGTCCTTCGCGCCGGGCAGGGGCCTTGGGCGCAGCTTTCGACTTGATCCCTGCGCTGCTGCTCGCGTTGCGCCCTTTCGACTTCTTATCGGCTTTCTTCTGCTGGACTGCCTCGTATTCCTCGACTATGTGAGGCTCCGCTAACTTGACCATCGAGGCAGGCATCCAGACCCTGAGATGACTCTCAGGGTCCGGTGGCGCTTTCTTACCTCCTTTGCCCTTCGGAGCGTCATCTTCGTCCCCTTCGTCATCATCTTCGTCGGATTGGCAGGTGACAGCTTCCACCGGCCGTATACCTTTGACACCCGCTGCGCTAAGACGAACCAGCTGTGCTGGTGCGATCTCCAGACGGTACTCTAGGATACCATCCGTAGAAGCATGGGCGCGAGTGGAGTGTATCTTCACGATCAGACGCTCCTCGTCCTCGTCCTCGTCCTCGTCCCCGTCCTCGTCATCAGATTCGCCCCGAGATGGTGAGTTCAGCTGCATAGAAGAGAAATGCTTAGCAATCATAGACGAAGGAGTCCCGATCGGTGGCCTGTGCCCGCTCTTCTTCCTGGGCGTTGAGGGTAAGACTGCCCTTTCGTCTGCGTCCAACGCAGCACGACGCAGTATACGCAAGACTGCAGACGGCCACAGGACGGTTCGGAAGCGCTTAATGATGATATCCTTGACGCCCCATTCGAAGTACAGTTCGCAGAGTCCAGCAATCTTACTAAGGTCAGGCTCCCTGGTCCACCTGACCTTGACAGATTTACCTTCGCTTTCGGACGTGATGGGCCTGGCGTACGACAGCAGAATCTCGATGTCGGGGAAGTCCTCCGGCACGGACTTCGCAAGGGAGGGATTTTTCCGCCCCAGGTGTCCCTGCGAGTTAGTCTTCAGCTCATCCCGGATCTGCTGTCGCCAGACTTTCAAGAAGTCCGGGAGTTTCTCCCTCGGAAGCCGATCGAGGGCTTCTAGGAGACTGTCTCCAAATCCGCACTTGGCGAGGCCTCGTGCGGTACCGGGGCCACAGCGTGCGAGACCGGCTTGATGGTAGTCTCCTCCGCTGAGTAGACCGATCAGGATGAGGCCTCCTTGCGTAAGGCCTATGTCGGGGTGGTCTAGGAAATCCTCGGATTTGTATACGACGGAATGATTACCATCGTCTCTTCCAGCGGAGTTCTTGACAGGGTGAGCTTTGTTGCCAGACAAGGTATTGCTGGGGCTGAGGGATACATTGCAAAGGTCAGCGAGCATTTTGACTTCCCTCAGAATGAGCCGTCGTACTTGCGAATCACCATGGTGGCGCCGAACAAAAAGTTGTCGACATCGTCCGACAAGATAGCGTCGATCACGCCTATGCGGTTAAGATATGCCAGTTCGGCCTCTGCTTCTCCAGGAGCCTGTGCGACGTTTGTCTACAGTGAGACATTTGAGAGTAAAAGGCAACTTACCGTTCTCCATTCAAATCCAAAAGCTTCAATAATGTTCTTCATGCCAGTAGTTAGCCAGTGCGCATTTCCAGATACGCGCTTTCCCCGCTTGACAGAGGGCCTTTTCGGACCGTCGAACACGAATAGGGGTAGGAACGGCATGTTCATGAGTCGGCAACAGCGGAAGAAGAGCGTTCTGAGCTCCGGGTTTTCACCCTCCCTCCCATACGCAGCGTGAAAGAACCATATACTCGCATCTATCCCGATACGAAACCCGCGGTGGCCACCGACATTTGCTTCGAATCCTTCTACGACAGAAATTTCCGTGAGCGAGCGAACTTTTCCGGCAGGACGGAGAATCTACAGCAGAGATAATTATGCGAATGTCGAAAAGGAAAGATGTAGAACTTACATCCCAAAGACCGGGTACACCCATCGCAGCGAACAGATGCAGAGGCGTGCGCTTTGTGTGCCCGACGCGGACGGCTTGAACTGGAATCACGTGATGGTGACAGACGCGACTCATCACAGTCTTATAAGTGTCACGGTCGTCGGTAACGCGACTTCCTCCCGGATACAAACTGGCCTCGGACAGACTACCAATGCCCAGGGCAACAGCGGCGTCGAAGGCAAGAAGAAAGGACACTAGCGAAGAGGCAGACAGATAGCTGCTATTATCCCAGCAGTCCGCTAGCAGCGATGGCCATGGGTACAGATTGCAGCGGTTCAATTGCAACGGGCCCAGGTGGACTAAGTTTTGAATTTCATCCCAAGTAATATGCTAGCTGTAGTTGCGCAGTAAACGCAAGGTATGCATAGCAATTACTGAATTGTCCGTTGGCGCAGCTACTTCGCTTGTTTTTAGTTTCCTGCGAGAAGAGAAAGGATAAACAGGCCAAAGTTCCTGCAAGTGACCAAGCAGGGGCTGTGCAAAACAGTAAGACCACTTAGGTGGGATTTCTACTCATGCGCCAATACGCATCTGCCAGGTTACCCAGCACGCCGACCGCTTTTCCAGAGCCGCCGAGGAAATCTCAGTGGTACTCGACGTTCAATGAATATCAGCCTGCTTCGTACGAGGAGCTTGTCTCCGAGTACGCTGCAACCGACAACGAGATCAGGACGATTTGGATTGCTATCATGATCTAGCGGCATGCATTCATCTTTTGTGCTCCATCCTGTCCACTCAATGTTCGATTTCCAACTAGGATCTTGCTATGGTGAACAAATAATGCGGCTTGCAGCACGAGGATCGGGAGGAACGCCAGCTAGATGGTGTGGCCTCCTGTAAGAGAGCATGTGAAGGTGAGCGCATACCAGAGACTGACTATCTACTTGACCATTGGACTGAGCAAATGTGATCTCTCACCGCCTCACTGACTGGTCTTTCTTGACCTGTGGAGTCAACACGAAGATGCCCTTCGCGTAAATATTAATCATGTTTGCGCTCTTTTGAACCGGCGTACCGAGACGCAGGCCCATGTATCTCTCCCCTTTTGTAACATAGAGCCTGCCTCGTCGCCGACGGACATACCTCTGTTATTTTATCTGTATACTAGCCGCGAGACGTACTATGGGTCATCCACCTTGTGCCACAAAAGATTGGCGTCCTATTTGTGGCTCTAGATCTGTCTATAATTGACCCCTATTTGTTCTGTGGCGTGACTTTCTGGCAACGCAGCCCAAGCTCGAAAACCCCGCGTTACATGAGAACTGGCATCTCATGTCTGGTCCATCCGTCCCCGCCAGCGCGGGCAGGCTCATAGGTACGTTCTCCGGTACGTCTGTGGCCGAAGAGTTCTGAGAAGGTATACGTAGACTTTAGCCTTTTCGGCGGGGCAGAGTCCCTCACCGAAGGCAAACCCGCCCGTTCACCGCGGCGCACGGTCGTAGTCGCTCCGAACGAAAAGGACGATGGCGTGTCATACCCAGGACCCCCGCAGGACCCGTCCGACTTTCTGTGGCTGATGACCGAGGAGCCGCACCGGAGCAGGCGGCAGGCAATTATGAAGGCGCACCCTGAGGTCCGTTCCCTATCCTGGTTTAATAGCTGACGTCTGAACTCTGGATTCTGAACTCGGACAGGTCACGAAGCTCATGGGCTACGAGCCCTTGACCAAGTACGTCGTCCTGCTCGTCGTCGCGCTCCAGCTCTCCGTCGCATACGCACTCCGCCGCACGCACCCGCTCTCCCCGCTCTTCCTGTTCGTCGCGTACGCAGTTGGGGGCACGGCAAACCACAACCTCTTCTTGGCCATTCACGAGATCACGCACAACCTCGCGTTCCGCGGCGTCAAGGCGAACAAAGCCCTCGCGGTGTTTGCGAATTTGCCCATCGGTGTGCCGTACGCTGCTGCGTTCAAGGTGCGTCTGCCATTTTCTTTTAATTCTTTTTGGTCAGTGGGAAAGAGGGAGCTGATCAGGTTGGTTTGGCGAGCAGAGGTATCACATAGAGCATCACAAATACCTGGGTGAGGACGGGATCGACACAGACCTCCCCTCGCGCCTCGAACTCCTTTGCCTCAACAACGTCCTCGGCAAGGTCATCTTCACGTACGCTCACCCCTTTCCCATCCTCCTGTCCTCCCCGCTGACCCCCTCCAGGACCTTCCAAATCTTCTTCTACGCCCTCCGCCCCGGCTTCGTGCGCACACAGACCCCCACGCGTTGGCACCTCTACAACCTCCTCACCGAGCTCGCCTTCGACTACGTGCTCGTGCGCACCTGCGGCGCCTACGCGATGTGGTACCTGCTCATGAGCAGCTTCTTCGCGGGGAGCCTGCACCCGCTCGCGGGGCACTTCATCGCGGAGCACTATCTATGGGACGGGCTGGGCCAGGAGACGTACTCGTACTACGGCCCGCTTAATATCTTCGCATACAATGTGCGTCCCCTCCACCTGTGACGCACCCGAGGCTGACCGTAGAGCTCCAGGTTGGCTACCATAATGAGCACCACGACTTCCCCTCGGTGCCCTGGACGCGCCTCCCCGCGCTGCGCGCTCTCGCGCCCGAGTTCTACGACACGCTGCCGAGCCACCCGAGCTGGCCGATGATCATCGTGAATTTCATCAGGGATCGCGAGGTGGGGATGTTTGCAAGGGCGAAGCGGATGCCCAGGGGGACCGCGACGCCGGCGTTGGAGCAGGGCGAGAAAGTTGGGGCTGATCCGGACAGTGAAGGTGAACGAGCCAAGGAGGGGGAGAAGGAAGGCGACGTGGATAGGCAGGAGTAAATGCTCGGTATAGAGATAGATCTGTCGCTTCGAAGCGTCCAGCGACAGTCATGTCTTATACATTCGAGTCCGACGTGTACGAAGTGCCTTTTGTATGAATGCTTAAGGCACTGAAATCTAGCATGCTAGGCAATCATACACTGAAAGGCACTCGGACGTAGTGCTTGAGGCACTTCGCTACGGGCGAGTACCTTATACACTCGAGGTTACTCCGGACGATAATCTATATCCTGGCAAGCGTCTCCTCCAACCTCTTCAGTAAAACGTCATTCTCCTCTTCCGTGCCCACCGTGATCCGCAAACAGCCCTGACACCCCTTCTCGCTCCCGCGGTACCGAACGACCACGCCCGCCTCCTCCGCCAGGGCCTTGTACACCCGCTTCGCGCGCTCGTTGTCCGGCTGCCCGTCCGTGCCCAGCACCCGCACGACCACAAAGTTCGCGTCGTTGCCACCGATGACCTCGCCCAGTCCCAATGTCTTCAAAGCGGGCGAATGGAGGGCGCTGAGGAGGGTCTGGCGCGAGGAGACGAGGGTGTCGACCTTGGCGCGCATGGACCGCAGGGAGGCGGGGGCGAGCGCGAGCGAGGCGAGGTGCGCGGTCGGGCTGGAGATGTTGTACGGCGCTTTGGTGTTCATGAGGATCTGGATGAGTGCGGGGTGCGCGAGGGCGATGCCGAGCCTATCATAGCAGAGTGGTAGGTTAGTGTGAGCGTTCTCGGGGGAGCGGGAGGAACGGAAAGGCGCACCGGATCGCTGCGAGCCCGAAGCTCTTGGACAACGTCTGCACGACGCATAGGTTCGCGAACTCCGTTACTAGTTGGGCGGCACTACTCCCTTCGGGTGCGAAATCGATGTAGGCCTCATCAACGACTACGATGCCCTTAAAAGCGGGGTCTGCAAGGATCGCGCGGATGGAGGCAAGGGAGAGCAGGGTGCCGGTCGGGTTGCCCGGCGAGCAGAGGAAGATAAGCTTGATGCTCGGGTCCGCCGCGACGGCTTTCTTTACCTGTCATAGAAACAAGTCGAGTTAGCAAAAGACAGGCAGAGGAACGATAAAGCAGAGCTCACACCTCGTCCACCCTGACCGAAAACCGCCCCTCCTCACCCCCCTCGCCCTTCTCCCCGCTGAGCTCAAGGTCCACCTCCACGACACCAACGTCGTTCACCTGCGCGCACACCCCGTACATCCCGTACGTCGGCGGCGTGGTCAGGATTTTGTCCTGGCCTGGCCGCGCGCACACGCGCATCAGGAGATCGATGACCTCGTCGCTGCCTACGCCTAGGAAGACGTGGTTCGCACCAGGCAGCCCCCGAAGTAGTGCGATCCGGGACTTGATGTCGTCGTGCGTCGGTGAGGGGTAGCGGTGCAGGTCGAGGGCGAGTGTAGAGTCGATTTCTGCTGTGGTTGCATTTCCGTTGCCCTCCGGAGAGATGGAGTGGCCGAGGGCGTTCTCGTTGGCGTCGAGCAGGATGCCAGAGGAATAATCATCGCGGGCGCAGCGGTAGGGGTGCAGGGCGAGGATGTTGGGCCGGATGACTTGCTCGATGTCAAAGTGCGGCGGGTGGCGCGGGTACAGCGACGGGTCGAGGCCGAGGATGGGCATGGCGGGCGGGCGGGCGGGAGTAAGAGGAGGATGCAGAGTCACAGATAAATTACTTTCGGCCGAGTCATCCAAAGATCCATCGCACAGCATGCGCGCTTAGATAATTCTTGGCCCTGATAATCCCGCCCGGCCCGGTGGCAGTGCAGCAGGTGCTTCGGCCCGATTTGAATCTGTGCGTCGAGCGGGAGGAGAGAATCCGAGGGATAAGACAGGGCCTCTTACGGGCCTCCACCACAGAAGGGAGGGGTGGAAGATGTTACAATAGAGCATCATGCTATTCTTTTATTTGCAGGATTGACCGCTTTCTTCCGCTCGATGCTGCCACCCATCACTATAATTGCGTTAGTCGTGGACTTCAGCACCTCGACGAGGGATCCCAACCCTAGTGCGCATGCGTTGAAGTCCTCCGGGAGGCATAGAAAATGGATAGAATGCCAGGCTTCTGAGCACTGGGTATCCTGGAAACCTGTATTGAACTTGGTATGCTACACTCATCAAGAGTGCGGTCATTCAAGCGGTTCGTATATCGCAATGCGCGCTGTCCCGCATACTGTGACACATGGACAGCTGGAGTAACCCCCCACGAGTGTATCGCTAAGCAAGGATCTCACCTGACCCTGAATGGCCCTGGAAATGTAATATGGCGATAGCTCTTCGCATCGATGCGTGAAAACAGGGTGTCTGCGATTCAACTCGTTAATTCTGTTAGTCCATCAAACGTGGCGTTAATCGTCGGCAGCCGTAGTACGGAGCCTGCTTACGCTACTGGGGGTGGTCGATCAATGTCAGCCAATAGGCGGCGTGACATTGAGCTAGAGACGAAATTTCATGTTGCAAGAGCAGACAATGACGATGGGGTCTGCCAGGACGGCGCATGAGTCCTTGGCCACCCCTGGGGTCTATAATGCCATCCGTACATTCAGTCGGAACACTAGAAGGGTGTAACAAATGCTGGATAGGAGAAGTTACCCATGCGCCCCATAAGTAGGAGCGTGTGTTCGTGACATGCAGAAGAGCTCATTGGCAGTTCAAACAGAGATTATCAGAATATATGCGCCTTCCGTAACGATACCTGCGTAAGTCTTCCGACCATCAGCATAGGCCAACCCCAAGAGCCATTGTCGGGAATCAGTCGGCACCGAGGAGAACCCTATCTTCGCCCTACACCTCCAGCAGGATGCCTAAGTCGACTCAGATAGGCCAGTTGACCCGTGGTAGGCGAGCCTCCGGGAGCCTCGACTTGTCGGCTCAGCTGCACTGCTCTCGGTACCGAACGGTACAGAGAGGAACCCGAAGACATGTCTCCGCACCACTGGGGCACCCCGTCTTGGTGTTGTTTGTCGATGATCACCCGAAGTCCGCAGTAATTCCAGGTTGTCCCGAGCGCACTGTTCCGCGAAAGTTGGCACTTTGCCTGCCCATTCACGATGCCTAGACTTGGTATGGTCTTCGCATGGACGGCCGAGGAAATGGCGCCTCTGCGGATCCATTGAAGTTTAACTGCGTACTACAGCGAACGACGTATCCGAGTGCCAGAAAGACAAGTGAGAGCGACGTCTGCCGTCATCACTGCCAGAATGTTCGAGTCTCTCTAATGTCCCATTCCCTCAATAACACCGTTGCTATTAACATACCTGTATCAAATCCTGGGGAGGTGGTATGACCGGAGAGGCCAAGACGTTCAAGTTGACTTCAAGACCGCGCGCCCGAGGTACTTCCGCAATTGGTAAATGTCGCCGGCATTCGCCGCTTATGTCGAGACTCTGGCCAGCCATGGCAGGAGTATCCACCAACAACATTGAAGGCCACGTCGCCACGATGAAAGAGCTAACTCCAGGCCTCCCAGGGTCCGAATGATCCACGTTGCTCCGGTCTTGATTGCGATTCAGAGCAGTCGCGTCGCGGCCTTTCATACGAGACGCACGGATAGAACAGCAAGATCTCCATAGGGTCAGCATATGCTATCACCATCAGCTACTAGTAGTAGTACCTTGCTGCTGGGCAGGGATAGCTGTTCCATTAGCCAGACCGGATGTACTTGGCTGTGCATGGACGTCATACTCTCAGGTCTATGGAAGACAGCATGCGACTGCAGTTCGGCCTCCGTCTCCAGGGTATCGGAAGTGAATCTGCATGTTTCCCTGCCGGTACACCTGAAGGCTGAGGCTGGCTGATTCTTCTCACATCTTCATTCTACGTTGGTCATAGGATGATTGAAGCCTCATGCGCTCTCGCCTTCTCTGTCACGCTGCAGCTTTCCACAGGATTCGGTTAACTCGAAGTTGAACCCTAAAATAACCTTTTTGATCTGCTTATTCGCCCTCGGGATCGCTCAGGATCATGCAGCAGATTGTTCGGATCACCATGTCAAGAGGGCGTTCAATCGGAGGTACACAAGACACAAATCCTTTAGCCGATGTTCTGAAGAGGTTCCAGCGGACCCCAAAGCACTCGCTCCCCAGGCCTGCTATTTCACCAAGGGTTCCTACTTTTGGCAACAATCCAGGGCAACGCGGTGGTTACGAAGAAGCTGCGCGGATGTTATAGGAACCATGGTTGGCCCCACTGCAGGCGTTCAAGAAACTACAATGACAAATCACGTTACTCGAGGACCAGTGTACGGCGCATCTGCATTGGAAGTCGAGAAACACCCACAACGCTGATTTCGGCGAGTTATCGGGACTACAGCGACGACAAACGACGTCCCCGCCTCATGCAAGAGTTCCCCGTACTTTGGGTCTTTTGCTAAGTCCTGTTCACCGCGAGGATATAAAAGGCGGTCCTCATCCGACCAGGACCGACAACCTCAGTGCACATCACCAGAGGGTCAGGTAACATGTTCAAGGCACTCCTCAGTCTCGCGATCGTCGGCGTCTCCGCCATCTCTGCGCGCGCCGCCGCGCTCTCTCCGAGAGTGACAGGCCCTGCTCCCCTGAAGTTCGCTGGTGTCAACATCGCTGGTTTCGACTTCGGCTGCGGCACCGACGGTACCTGCACTGTCAGCGGCGCGTATCCGCCCTTGACGCAGTACTATGGTGCGTCTTCCACCCATCTTACTTGGACTATGGCAGTCGCTGAGTACGAGCAGGCGCGGACGGTGCGGGCCAGATGCAGCACTTTGTCAACGACGACGGATACAACCTGTTCCGTCTCCCCGTCGGCTGGCAGTACCTGACCAACGGTGTGGTTGGTGGTACCCTCAACTCCACCAACTTCGACAAATACGATGCCCTCGTCCAAGCTTGCTTGAACACGGGTGCCTACTGCATCATCGACATCCACAACTACGCTAGGTGGAACGGAGAGGTAATTGGCCAAATACTCTGGCCCCTTGATAAGAAGTCTTATGAGCTCGCCCCCACCATTTTTAGATCATCGGGCAGGGCGGACCCACCAACGCCCAGTTCGCGGCCCTGTGGTCCTCCCTGGCTACTCAGTACAAGTCTCAGTCCCACGTCATGTTCGGCATGTGAGTCCTGACATCGCGGCACTGTCTTCCGTATCTCAATGCAGTATGTAGCATGAATGAGCCGCATGACCTCCCGAGCATCACCACTTGGGCTGCCACTGTCCAAGCCGCAGTCACTGCCATTCGCAACGCCGGGTGCGTGGCCGAGAATCATCACTTCTGCCGCACATCGCTGATGGCTACGCCTATAGAGCCACCTCTCAGTACATCCTCCTCCCTGGCGACAACTGGACCTCGGCCGCTACGTTCGTCTCCGGAGGGTCCGCTGCGGCGCTCGCCACAGTGACGAACCCCGACGGTAGCACCACCAACCTGATTATGGACGTGCACAAGTACTTGGACTCCGATAACTCCGGCACGAGCAACACCTGCGTCACCAACAACACCGTGGAGGCCTGGGAGCCGCTCTCTGTTTGGCTCCGTGCTAACAACCGTCTCGCGATCAACACTGAGACTGGCGGAGGTAACACTGCTTCCTGTGTCGAGTATCTGTGCCAGCAGGTCGCCTACCAGAAGACCATCGCCGATGGTATGCCCCATCTTCGCGCTTGTGAAAAGACTGGCTAACAACTTCGTAGTCTTCCTCGGCTATGTTGGCTGGGCAGCTGGTGGGTCATATAGTACTCCCTCCTCAGTATGAAAGCCACTGACCCCCCTCCCTGATATTCGTAGGCAACTTCGACACCGGATACGTCCTCTCCGAGACCCCCACCGACAACGGCGGCACGTGGACGGACACCGAGACCGTCTCGTCCTGCTTGGCTCCGATTGCCAACGCATGAAGCAGCGATACGTACAACGTTTCCCCTTCAGTTAGAGGGATATTTCTTGTCTCTGGTAGCATCGGTGAAAACTGGTAGTATGCCTCTTTTGTAAATACAGCGGAGACAGCAAGAAATATTGTTTATACAATGAGTACGTGATGAGCAATCTATTAGTCGAGCTCCTCCGAGTCCCCAGCTTCGCCGTTAGCATGATTCAGCACAATGTAACGTCCAAAGCTTGGCTTCGTCTACTCAATACCATTTAGAGGGCAGTACATTATGGCCTTTCTCCTTAGTGCGACGGTGAGTAGAATAACCATCCTCAATTCAAGCCTGTCTCCGTACATCAAGGAACAAATAAGGTATATATAGCAGTCCGGGCAGGAAATAGTCACGGTCCGTCTAACTCTACAGTCTCATTAATCCAAAAGACAGCGCCGTGGGCCAGATACAACTTAGCATTGGTCGATGAGGCTATTCTTCGGATTGGGCTGCCCGAAGTCACCAGTCCATGTCGTCAGATTGGGATTAGTATACTAGACGAGGAATTGTGCTCAGAAAAGGCTCTCCGCGTCTGCCTAGGTGTAGCACTCACCGCTTCCATGTACCTTAACAATGTTCTGTCAGCACTCAGGACGTGGGAACGGGAATCAGAACTCACTGGTTAATGTAAGCTTGAGTAGGGAAGTCCTGGGGATCGCACCCGATATTGATACTGTCCTTGGGCTGGTAAACGCGTATCCAGTCTATGGTCATATGCACAGGGAATGGTATGTGGTCTACATCGACGACTGGAGTGAAATCAGTTGACATCCCTAAATTTACGATGAGATACTGGGAGGTTCGATCAGTAGTGTCCTGAACAACAGCTGTGAAGCAGACCATCGGTTCCTGCGGCACAGGCCTTGCGGATATATTCACACGACTGTCGGCGGCCATGGCTGCAACTTCCAGAGTGACAGCCAGTTTATCATCCGTTATCCAGCTGATATACTATGGCAGGGAGATCAGGACACATTTTCCTTCCGAAGACTAGAAGTACTTACCGCGTCATCGAATCCAGGCTTGTATTCAAACCCGTATGTAGAGAAACAGCCACCGTTACCCTCATAACATGCCTGGTCTAATAGATGCGTCAAGTCGGGCGCGCTTTCTATGATGCAGATCGCTTACTGGTGATGGTAACGGTTGACGATGCCTGTTGCAATTCACCACCAGTGTAAGTGTTCATGGCGGAGATGGTGGGGTCCTGAATTTGATAAAGGTCCGACGTATTGAAGAACTCATAATTATAATTAAAGGGCTTTCGAGACAAATCATCAGGATCATCGAATCTCCGGTCTGCAATGGAGGGAATGGTGGAACTTACTGCCCACTGGGCTGATTGGGAGACCTGTCCGGACACGGGTCCGCCAGGCGTCAATGAGGAGATCTAGCATGGCAGGTGCACTGAGTGCTGGTGAAACACAATGGAGTGCTTGGGATGACGCACTTGAGCTTCGAACATGTCAATCTCCGGCGCTGATCGCCCGACGTACGTCCCATCTTCATGCACGGGACCGGGGTGACTCTCGCCCTTGCAAGTACATCTTGACAACCTCTGGCCTGGAAGGAACGACAGAGGCTTGGGGTTGTCTGGATCCAATGTATTCGTAGCGTCAGGCACGCCATTTATTGACTGGTTCGCGACGGTCCCGACATCACAAGCGTCGTATGTATACGGCCACTGCACATCAAGAATCAATATTTGTCTGGCCAAGGTGATTGAAATCAGAGGGAATCGCACCATGCCGTCGAGACTGGCTCCATATCCGGCTCGCCCTAGGTATGCAAATGAGGTATGAACATTCCCGCCTTAAGTAACCACACTGATAATCACCCAGATTTCCCATAGCCCAGACAGCAGGCCATAAACCAACCACATTATTGAGTCCGGGTAACGTGACACTGGCTAAGTACATCCCGCCGGTGAAACAGAACTTATTCCAAGTGGACATCATGCCGCTCTGATAATTCAGGTCATGAATTTCTTTCTCGGAGAGCGTGATGACCAAGGAGCCATTGCTAGTGGTGATCGCATCCGGGTCGTACCACTCCATATCGGCGGTCTATGTCCGGTGTAAGGCGGTTGAGGGGGGAACCCATGGAATTATGAGACGTACCTGCCAGTAGTTCAGGTTGACTGCTTCCCAATACGGATCGTCCCCAGGGTAGAAGGACCGGCCTTCTACATTGAATTCGTCGCTAAATACAAGCTGCCATTCGGTCCCGTCTTTGTACGATGTGTGGGTAAGTGCCTCCTGCGGCGTGTCCAGATCAATCAAGCCCCAGTTGCCGTTCATGCTGGGGACCTTGAATAGCGCCGTCAGCTGCGGTAAAACAGTGCGATGTACGGAGATTGACCTGTCCGCTGGCATTTATGCCGCCCAGATTGAATCCTCCGAGATTGCTCAAGCCGTGCTTCGTGAAATATGAAGCTAGGGGATATCCAGCGCTGCGGACACGAAAATTCAGCCTTTCATAGGGTATGACTCTGACATGAAGACATACAAGAGGCCGAGGATCGCAAGTGCCAAGATGACTATACACCCCAGGTTTGCGATGCCTCTGGCGGAGAAGATACTGCCTCCATGATCCACGATTCGATCTCGCCGGGGATCGGGGTTATGCAAGCAGTCATCGTCCTCAGGCTGGTTAGCGAATAGGCTGGATCCCCACATCCTGGGGTCAGGAGCTAAGGAGAACTGTGAAAGTGGATACACAAAGTCAGGTCGGGAATCTCGTCTGGCTGTAGACTGTTTTGACTGGGATATGTCTTGTCATGGACAACCCAGACATTTTGACCACGGACGTCACCCATGTAGGGAATTTCCATACCTTCTCCGATGTGCTGCCTCTCCCAGCGACATGCCCGTTTGTTGCCTGGAGAGCACTATAGGGCGAGTCACTCTGTTTTGTGGTTCTGCTCAGGACATATAGTCAAGACTGGGGTGCTCATTCGTAGCTCACTAAGGACGTATTGCTCTTCTGTGATTGTAGGGAGGCGCTTCCAGTGAAGTACGCAGGCTGCGGATCTCTTGCTGCGGGCGAAGGAACTCTTTTGGGCGATGAACGTAGCAGATTATCCAAAGAGCTGTCAGACCCAGCGGCGTAGACACGCCTTTGAGCAGTGTAAGCCATTGAGTTCACGTTCCGAGCCGTGACTGCAGTGAATGGTAAAGACCGTGGGTTGAGAGAAAGAGCGATGTACTGTACACTGAGCGTTGGCAACGCCAAACAAGAATATACTAGCTGAGAGATAGACGCATCCCAAATAGAATGCACGGTGGCCGAACTCAGCGCCTTCGGCCTGGACCAAAATAGCGCACCCTACGTATGCTATTCATAGGGCACTGCCAGACTATCCGGATACCCCGTCAATTGGAAAATTCTGAACTCACGAGCGTGTGTAGGGACGCACCATTAAACTCGATTTTGATGACTGCTTGCCTATGTCAAATGCGTGAAGTAGAGCCTGCATGGGCTCGCTGGACAGTCGGTGGACATACTTCGACACGGTCGCGCGTAGCTAGTCCGAGAGAACGGGAAATTGCAGGATATTTCGCAGTATTCTCCAAACCGAGGGATAGATGTTAGACCATGATGTGGTGATGATTCAGAAACAGGGTTGACCTGCCGTGTTCCCGAGAACAGCGCCTGCCTGCGGTGCATGTCACTGCATGATGATACAACCCCAACGGGGTGGCGGCACCTGAATCTTGCACTACTCCAATCCACCAGCAATCAAGTTGCTGTAGAATACAGCCTGTTCGAATTGTCGTCTTGCCGATAAGGGATGAAAAGCCGGGGATAAGTAGCGGCGCAAGTATGATTGAAAGTAAGGTAACCAGAAGCTGCAGAAGGCCAAAAGCTTATGACCGCCGGCGTTTGCCGCTACGCCTCGGCATCTGTGCATCCTGTTATCAATGCAGGCCCAATGCAGGCCACTTGCCTGCTGCAAGAAACCCACAAGCAATGCCCAACGAACCGGCTACACGCCAAGCAGGGGATGGGAACAGTCCAAGTGGTAGCGTAACAATTAATCGTCGTTCACATGAAGGTTGGTTTGTCATTCGGAATTGCGTAACTTCGTGAAAGCTGTTTCTCACCGCCCACAGTCGTTGTAGCTTCACAAGGACAGGGAGAAGCACAAGTGCGCATGACTGCTTTGCCCTCCCATGGATTTGCCACCAAAGTGGGCAGAAAATCGGGTGCCATTTCCTCAGAGGCACGCTTGCCTGATAGCTCAGATCAAGGTTCCCGGTTAATGGTCAAACGGCCTGACATGGCGAAGCCCCAGTTTGGCAGCATCTCTAGAAATGCGCCACAGATGCAGGTTAGATCTGCACGAGATACTCACCCTGTCAGGCCTCCTGCCGCTGCCAGTGTTTACTCGAAGAATGTAGCAAAGACTTTCGGGATAACGGGTGTCCCAGCGCCACAGGGACCACTACTACCTCGCCATCCGTTTAAAGCTGCGAAGAAACATACATCGGCGCCTATAATGTCAACAGTGTCGCTTCCAGGCCCTGCCCCGTCCACACACTTAATCAACAGTGCTCGTACGTCACTGCGGATATCTCTCGTGACATCACTGTGATATTACCTATAGCTCGGAAGATGGCTGTGACTGGTCAAGGCGTCTTCTCTGATCGTCCCAACTTTGTTCATCTTGGCCCGCAGCTTGGTCACAATCAGTATTCCAAGAGCGGCCCTCGAACTGCATTCAAGGTGCTTTTGGAAGACCGACAAGCCGGTCTCCATCGAGCCAAGCAACCTGCTGATGACAGTACCTGGGATCTTACTCCGTCGAGAATAACAACTCGCTATGCAGGACCGGCTGGGCGTGGCCGTACCGATGGGCGAAACGAAGTTATAGCCGCTCGTGTTGATCAACCGTCAAGAACGCGAGTGGTCATAGCAGATGATGAGGAAGACGACGACATGGCCGTTCCGCAGGGGATGCCCGTCAAAGCAGCGCGGAAGCTCGTGTCTGAACTGCGAACGGGTGTCAAAGCAGCAAAGAAGCGAACTGCGGTCGATATACACGAATCGGAAGAGGGATCCTCGGGATCAGAGGACGGCTCGGACGGGAACAAAGGTAGACCAATCGTCCGAACTGTGTTCGCTACGAAGGGCAGGTCTGTGAAGACTCCTGATAGTTATGGAGTCCCTAGGGTACGCTCGAGAAGCATAACCCCTCGGGTGGAGACTGCGTTGGGAGCAGCCGATGCACTCAGTTACCAACCGCGCTCCCCACTTTTTGTTGATCGTGACATTTGTAGATCGTCTCCGGACGCTGAAGCTGCTGATTATCCCGACTCGTTGCTAGAAGCACTGGATGCTCTTTCGCTTTCTTCAGGACGTCTGCAGAAACTCAGCAGGCTGCCTTTCCTCCGGCGTAACCTACGCCGCGCGTTCGAGGCTCGGTGTAGACAGCGTGGCGTTGGGCTTCCTGAGGACGCTGGAAAGAACATTCAGGCAGACATTACTATCGAAGTGGTCTATCGACTCCAGCACAATGCTCCTGAGGCTGAAGCGACCGGACATGTGGCTGGTCGCTCACACGAGGAATACAAGGTCGCTATGCGAGGGTACGAATGCCCATTGTGCAATTTACATGGCAAGTTCAGTGCCCTGTACATGCTGAAGAAACATCTAGAGTGGGATCACTCTGAGGTAGAAATTGGATGGGAGTTATCTCCGGATAGGAATCAGGTGAGGACGACTTTCCAACTTCCAACCCCCTCCCTCTCTAACTCCCTCCCATAGCTCACGTTGTCCGTTCCTCGCCTGGATGGCAATGACATTTCCAGGTACAGTTCGGTATTCTGACCTTGTCGCAATCGAACTGAAGTACTTTAGCAGCGATTCTGCTTCTTGGCTGCCTTCTGACACGGAAGCGGAGGAGAAGCCTGTCCTTCCGCTGTCCCCTTCCTTGTCCTCCGTGCCTGACAAGAGTGAAGGTATCTCCTCGGAGCCGTCCTCGGAGCCGCCTCCATCGCACCTGAAGATGAAGCTGCGGCCCAAGTACCAAGCTTCTCGCTCACATACTGCATCCTCTCAAACTCAGTCCGTGGCATCGGCCAATCTGGGCCCTACAGCGCAGCCTCCTTACCTTCCTCACGGAAACATTCAATTTTCTTGCAGACCTGGTGGCCCGCGGTTGTACGACCTGCTCAACACCCTCCCGATGGAGCCGTTCGGCATTATGAGTTGGTTTGTGATCGACAAGGAAGAAGAAATATTCGAACTAGATGATGTTCGCGACGAGGATAAGGTCATGATGGCGTTGTGGGGTCGGTGGATACTCCTGAACAGGTACGCACACAGATCAAGACGGATCGCCATTTTTTATAAACCATATCCCGTCGATTCCGATCTAGGAACAAATTCGTTCGCGATTACTACCGAGGCACGATTGCCTTCGTGGACGAGTATTGGGAAATGATCAAGCTTGCTGCTGGGTGGTCCGCACTGCGCGTCTGGCTTCTGGTATGCGGATCGTGTCGCGATGAGTCTGTTGAGAACCTACATTGACGGAAAAACAGATGTTTGTTGTGAACAGGTTCCTAGACGGTGCGCAAGTTGCAAGGGTTTTGAAGCATTATGAGAAATTAGCTGGTGTGGTCTAAATACATTTGGCGGTCTGTGGCCCATGGCACGCTCATGTCATACCTTGTGGATATGAGCACAATGCACGTCCGGTAGGAGCTCGCTGATTAGGCTATAGCATTTGCTCATCCGACGCTACTGTTCACTTCAGTAAATATCTCACTGAATTGCCGCGGACCTTTATGTATCCGATTTCTAGTCCGGCTATTCTTCGTGCCTGTCATGAAGATCATTCTTGTATGGTCCCTCGTTGCCCAATGACCGTGCAGAGTTACGCTATTGCGAAGAATGGTCTTTTTGCATACAACTAATTGCGCCATTCACTGCTTCCCGGACGCAATGCTGATTGCCTTCTTTGGCCTATGATAACAGCGATAGCTGTCGGTTAGATCAAAGGGAAGGAAGACTGAAGGCGGACCGTGGTCTACAAGCGCAAACCTGGGGTACTATGGTGTGCTCATGCATATCCGCTCTGCATGCGTATCGGCTCCTGTGCCTTGATATGCTCATTTGTTAAATACGACAGGTTACCGGACGATACATTCGGGTTACGGGCTTTTCGGACCTCCTCTACGCTGCATGCAATGACGACCTTTCATCTTGCGGACGACTCGCGACCTCAGTCTGTTACGGTATCTGAGGATCTCGACAAATCTCCGATATACTCGACAGCATCCATTCGGAAGTCTGTATCCCTGGTGTCAGATGAAAAGAGCGTGGTCGACGACTTGGTGGAACCAGAAGACGCGCAGTTCAGATGGATCGACTGGCTACGCCGAAGGAAGGGGCAAGATTTGGATGCCGTTGCGACGAAGCGTTCCGTATTTGACGACCCAATCCTGTGCAAGCACTATTGGCCCAAGCCTGAGTACGAGAATATTCATAGACTTGATATCAAAGCGAGATGGACGTACAGAGAAGAGCAGGTGCGACCGGCGCGGACAGTGATTCAACGGAAACTGCACTAACACGTTTATCATAAGGCTCTCGTTCGTAAGATTGACTGGAGAGTGATGCTTTGGGCAGCCATCAGCTTCTCAGCCTTGAATCTGGATCGGTCCAATATAAATCAGGCCAACTCGGACAACTTCCTCCCCGACCTAGGCTTGACTACGAACGGTATGTCTCACGCTTGAAATCCCCGAAGCAAAACCTGACTTGTGTAGACTTTAATTTGGGGAATTCCGTGTTCCGTCTCTCCTTCCTCTGCGCGGAACTACCTTCGCAACTGATATCCAAACGTGTAAGCAGCTGAGCTCTTCCTGTGCGGGTTACTTTGACCTTTTGCCATAGCTCGGCCCAGACCGCTGGATACCAATGCAAATGACTCTGTGGAGTAAGCTACAATTCGATTCACGTATACATATACCTAAGTACCTTTCCTAGGCGTCGTGACTATGTGTCAATTTTGGCTGACGGGCAGGACAAGCTTCCTGGTAACGCGTGCTCTTCTTGGAGTTCTTCAAGGAGGGTGAGCGATCCCTTTACATGGAAGTATGATGCCGTACTAACCCCTTCTGGCAAGTTTCATACCCGACCTGATATTGTATATGTCGTGTATGTCAAGTGTACTCTGTATATCAAGAACTTCGCTCACATTCGCGTCTTTCTAGACTTCTACACGAAGACGGAACTGCCTATTAGGCTCGCATTGTTCTGGATGTCGTCCAATGCTTGCGCGATTATATCTAGTTTCATCGCTTTCGGCGTGTTGCATATGCGCGGAATACTTGGGAAGGCCGGCTGGAGGTAAGATCAATCATTGCTTCTGTTGACCCCTTGCTGATGTTCACACCCTAGATGGTTATTCCTCATAGAGTGAGTCATCCGGATGGCCGCCTGTTACATGTAGTCTAACGCAGAAGTGGAACGATAGAGGGCTGATTACTTTGATCATCGGTGTCCTGACGTTCTTCATGATGCCTCCGTCTCCCACGCAGACTAAGACGTGGTACCGTCCCAATGGATGGTTCAACGAACGCGAGGAGACGATCTGTGTTACCCGAGTCTTGCGTGATGACCCAACCAAGGTTCGTACTCATGATAATACTATCAAAGATGTGCTCAGTGTTTGTTAGGGTGACATGCATAATCGAGAAGGTCTCACCCTGAAACGCCTTTGGAAAGCTGCCTGCGATTATGATTTGTGGCCGCTGTATATTCTGTTCGTAGGAGATTTCATTTTCCCCATATGTCCGACTAACACTTACATCCTTCAGCGGAGTCATGTTCGGCATTCCGATTGGACCGCCCGGGACCTATTTGACTCTGTCTTTGCGCCACATTGGGTGAGTTGTTCTTCATGCAGCCATTATATTGCATGCTCAATTTGAGTGTTGTAGATTCAACACTTTCACGACCAACCTGTTGACGATTCCATCGCAGGTCCTCGGCATAATCACTATGTTTGCCATTACGCTGGCATCCGAGATTGTCAATGACCGCTCCATTGTTGCAATGATGGAGGATGTCTGGGCATTGCCGTGCCTGGTCGCCTTATATTGCCTCCCCGACAACCCAAACCCATGGGTCTATTTCGTATGTCCCAACGACTACGTTCCCTACGTGACCTGATGAATATTCGAATCTTTCAGGCCATTGCGACTGTGCTGCTCTCATACCCGTATGTAACACATCGCTCTCGTTTAATCGCTCAGATTGACCGACACGGCGGAATAGTTATACACATCCGATTCAGGTCGCCTGGTGCTCGCGTAATGCAGGTGCGGTGGCGAGCCGCACGGTCAACGCATCCTTGTATAATATGTATGTCGTACCAGACCGTTGGCAGATCGCGTATACTAATCCTTGTTGGGTTGACAGGTGTGTCCAAGCGTCTGCAGTCATCTATTCATATATCTATCAAGCAGATGATGCACCACAATGTCGGTCTTGACTACAAACTGTGTTGCCATCTAAGGACTAACATGTCCGGTGGACATCAGATCGCAGAGGCAATCGGACTCTCATAATTATATCCGCAATCAATCTCGGACTTCTGTACCCAGGCACCAAGCTGTACTATCTGTGGAGGAACAGGAGTAGAGACCGCATCTGGAATAAAATGACTTCTGAGGTCCGTACATGACCTGCCGGCATTGTCGTCGCCGTACTAATATTTTCTTTCTTGTCTTACAGGAGAAAGCACACTATCTTGCGACTACGACGGATGTCGGAAACCGCAGACTCGATTTCAGGTTTGCCCATTAAGATTGGAGGCGCTTTGATGTGGTTACTCGAGGCAGGACGGCCTGAGCGCTCGAAAGATAGAGTTATGCGCTCCAGTGGAAGCGGATATGTATCACGGACGAAACGACAGATCCCTTTAAATCCTAGTAGAAGCCCCACGATAGTAATTCGGCGTCTTAGAAAGAGAAAGGGGAATTGTTCATGGGGCCGCCGGCGAACTGGAACGCGAATACATGTATGACATATGCATAGTATATTGCTACGATTTGCAATGGATTATGATCTCAATGTTCCTGGTAGAATGTAAGGGTATAGAACTGCGTAACCGCGTTACAGATCCCTGTCATAGATCGTGAGCAGAAAATATCCAATATAATTAAAGTTCTGGGAATATTCGGACTCGAGGAACTATAATGAAAACGCGGTAACAACTGATTAATCCACCGTAAAGACGCATACGGACATTGAAGCCCAACCCTAAGGTTGACCTTTGACTCAACCGTGATATTGACGGAGCCAGCTGCAGCAGGTATTTATACTCTCAGATACTTAGCCTGAGGTTTCCCGCCCCGGACGAGACAAAGTGCATTCTCTGAAGCATCGGCCCTTGGGTCACAGACTATATTGCATGTCCTCCTATGTAATACTTGGCCATGGGCGTACGAAGTATACTCAGTTCATGCCAAGGTAGATGATTCTCCGGAGGACAAACCTTAACCTTGTCAAATTGGCTCAAGTTGGAGTCGTTGGGCACGGGTACGAAATACTACGAATAAAACATCTACTGTAAATCCCTGTTCCAACCATAAGCAACAAAAGCCATGTTGTATCTTGGTACTAGTGCTGGCACGTGTCTAGAAATGGTCCGGCTAATATGCACCTGCTAGATGGTTTATATGGAGAGCATTTATCGATGGGCCACAATCAGGACCTAAGCGGACTTGGAATTTTAGCGCTATTCTAAGTCCGCAACGCGTCGCGAACTTAAACACGCGCCCACAATTCCCCTTCCTTGTTCTTGTCACTGTCCCTCTACCTCGCCTACTACTCCGTAAACTTGTTTGACTCCAACGAAAGACATGTCAGATACCGAGGGAAACAAGAAAACGGGCTATAGATTGGAGTATGCCGGCTCAAACAGAGCGAAGTGCAAAGGTGCGACAGTGTGGCTTGTTCAAACCGCGCGTCTGTGGCTACACGTACTAACATCATGTTCCACTTCCCTCAGGTCCCAAACCATGCAGCGGTGTGTTGTACTTACATCTATCGACCAGAGGGTCGATCACTGAGCTGTGGGAAACGCGTAGGCTCCACGATCGCGAAGGGCAGCTTGCGGTTCGGGACAGTTGTCGATTTCAGAGGAAATACCTCCTTGTGCGTCACATATTGTCTTCCCTGATCTCAATAATTCTTATCGACATTACTGTTCCATCTTTGGTCCATGGTGTACGCTGTCCACACAGTGCCTGGCGTCACTGGGGATGCGTCACACCCAAAATATTAGCCAATATCAAAAACCAATTCGAGTCCGCGGACGATCTCGACGGGTTTGAAGACCTGAAAGAGGAGGATCAAGAGCGCGTCCGTGAGGCCTACGAAACAGGCAAAGTCCGTGATGACGATATCCCCGAGACCGCCAGGAAACCAGCCGGTGAGGATGATGAAGAGGAAGAGGAGAAGAAGCCGGCAGCCAAGCGCGGGCGGAAGAAGAAGGAAGAAGCTAAGGGAGAGGATGGTGATGAGGCAGACTCTAAGCCCAAGCGGGGGAGGAAGAAGAAGGACGAGGGCGAGACTGCGGCGGAGGAGAAGCCGAAAGCTTCGCGGGCGAGAAAGGCTGCTCCGAAGGTGTGTCTCTATATTTGTATCTTCCTTCAGTTCAACTACTGACACTGCCTGCAGAAGGCTGAGCCGGAGACAGATGAGGGTGCGACGGCGGAAGAAGGGACTGAGGAGGAGAAACCCAAGAGGAAACGAGCGCCTACTACCAGGAAGACAGAGGCTGCCGCAACAGCAAAGAAGCCTCGGGCCTCTAGGAAAAAGAAGGTCCGTTTATCTCCGTGTCTCGTTTCTTGTCTAGCTGTGCTGGACGTTGATCTCGACTATCTATTTGCAGGAGGCATCTCCACCTGCTTCGGACGTGGAGGACTTCACCAAAGCCATGGATGATGTGCCCTCTGATCTTGAGGATAAGGAAGCAGAAGAGGAAGAGGAAAAGACGAAGAAGCGGAAACGCGCTGCGCCTGCCGCTAAGAAAGCGCCTGCTAAGTCCCGCAGCAAGAAACAAGCGGACGAGACCGCGGATGAGCAGGGAGAGGACGAAAGCGAAGGAAACAAGAAGAAGGCCGTGAGTCCTTATCCAAAGTAATATTTGCAAGGAGTTGTTGACCGATGGTCTCTGGTCAGCGCACGACCAAGGCCAGTGGGTCTAAGCCCGCGTCGAAGGCGAAGCCCGCATCAACCAAGTCGCGGGCTAAGAAAAGTAAGGTTGTCGTAGAGGATGACGATGATGAGGAGTAAAAGGGCGATTTCGTTACTCCAGCCTGCTTTTGTGGTGTCGGCGTAGTGTTGATGACTATTTCTTTTGCTCTGTAACTGTTATCGTAGGCCGGTCTCTCGTGATCGTATAACTGGTAGGGTACCTGTAGTGTATTTGATGACAATCCATCTCCATCTATTTATCAGACATGCAGCTGTCTTGATTCCGCCGCAAGGTTCACGCAGCTCGTAAATGTACCTAGTATAACCCGAAGGAATTAAAGATACAGAGTGGTAATTACTAGTGCTACAATCCGACGTTTGTACATCATAATTACCGACTGAGAGAAGGTGGCATAAAATTGGGGCGGGCCCGAGAGACCAGCACTACAAGGCGGTTGCGTTAGGTCGAGGCGTGAGAGTGATGGTGATTCCGCTACTGGAAGCGCCACTGTCGTCCCCAGCGAGTCTCGTCCCCGACGACGGTGCCGACGACGTGTGTTCGTGAATGATAGTCGTCACAGCGCTCCCTCCCGCAGTTAAGCTCGATAACAGCGCCGCGGCGTCACTTGGAGCGATGGTTTGCGTTTCGCGAGCCAGCGTGGTGGGTGAACCTGGAATCAATGTGATCGTTCGTATTACGACGGTCCCGGCGTTGGAGCTCCCCGCCCTCGAGGAAGTGTCTGTACCATTTAGGATGTCTTGAGCGAGCGTCGAATTGAGTATTGACTGGGCGTTCTTTACGCTTGTGCAAGTCACGAACTGGCGAGAAGATCAGACAAGGAAAGACAGAGTCTTGGTGAAGTACAACGTACCGTTCCATTATCCCTTACAGACGGTAGAGCGAAACATCGCTGCGAGCGCGGGCATGCCTCGGTGGCCCATGCACCGTTCACCGCACACTCAGCTAGCGCACCAGAAATACACGCGACTTGGCCACCTGGTATTTCAGAATCAGCACAGGTGAGTATTCATGATCAGACACATACTAGTGCACGCATCGAGAAGAGTGAGGGTCCGGAACTCATCATTCAAACGCTGAGCCTCTTGGACATTCCGCTGGATGGTGGCAGCATCGAGGCTTGAAGTCGGCGCGGCCGATACCACAGTGCAAGCCAGAGACACAAAGCCATAGACAATTGCAGTAATCGCAAGCATAATGGTAATGGTATGCAGTGGACACACGAAACAAAACCTGTTATACGCTTTCTAAATGCGAACCGTCCGACGAAAGGTAAAGAGCACCAGGCTCAGAAGATGCTGCGGCTTTGCAGAAGCTATTCCAAAGGACCAGGGCACCGTCGGAGTCTCGTACATTTATAGTCTCCAAGCACAGCGACGAAACAATGAAGGGGACGGATGTGGCTCAAAGCGAGAACAAAAGCGCTCGCCAGACAGAGGACTGGGAGGGTTCTCATACATTTCCGTTTTCGGAAACATTATGGGAAACTTGACTGGAAACGACAGACCTAACTGCGGGAGGAGCGAGGGTGGGAGGTGGGATATGAGTAGAGCAAGTGAAAAAGATGGTTACCCATGACCCATATAGCCAGTAGATAAACGGTTACAAGTCGGTCAGCTTGGAAGCAAGCCACTTCAGCCACATCGAGGCCTTCCATTCCGGGAGATTTCGTGAGAAACTGTCTGGAAATAGCCGGTAGTACAACAAGTGGCCTGGTGTATCGCCAACGCCGGCTTCCCCATTGTCCTGAAGACTATCGACATAGCCCAACATGGTGAGTTTCCATAGACATTCGTTGTAGCAGTCGCCTGTGGTCTCTGGGGATGCTCGGAGTGCTGGGAATGTGCCGGATGCGAAGTGGTTTCGGATGGATTGGAGCCTCATGCGTCGGATGACCTTCCATGATACGACACTGACCACTACGATTTGCAGACCAAAAAGAGAAGAAATAATGGCCGCAACAAGAAGGGCCGTGGTCACGTTGGGTTCATGCGCTGCTCCAACTGCTCGCGAGCCGTCCCCAAGGACAAGGCCATCAAGCGATTCACCGTGAGGAACATGGTTGAGAGTGCCGCCGTTCGGGATATCAGCGACGCGAGCGTCTACCCTGGTGCGTTTCTCTTGTAATCCTCACAGGGGTGATGTGAAACTGACCTTTGTGTTTTCTCCGTGGTGCAGAATACGTTGTCCCCAAGTTGTACCTAAAAATCGCATACTGCGTCTCGTGCGCCATCCATTCGCACGGTAGGTTCATCTTGCATAAACCTGCAGAAAAGCCAGTCATCCATTGCTCGCACAGTCGTCCGTGTCCGCTCGCGCGAGGGCCGCCGTAACCGTGCCCCCCCTCCCCGTGTCCGATGGAAGGATGGCAAGAAGGTGAACCCTGCCGTGGTGGCTGCTGAGGAGGCTAAGGCCGCGGCCAAGGCTGCATGAGTTCTGTATGATTCTCCGTATGTTTCCTCCGACGTTATGAGATTTGTATCATTGCTCTCGAATGCATGCCTTTCCTCCGCTGTTACGCCTCGTTGGGTGATCAACAATGAATGCCAGACGCAATCCACAGGCACTTCTACGTTCACCATCATTATTGATACTACAGTGTGGAACCCTTCTATCGGGTTTGCCGACTTGGTCTGCCTTACACATTTCCTGCTCAGCTATGTCCCTGCAATTGAGGCCGACCGTGATGAGGAAGAAAACGCGTTCACAAGTGTGGCTCTTTCAGTCTCTGGGTCGTGCTGGATATTACTTGTAACGTCTTCGCTAGCCGGAACCCCGCGCTTCTCCGGACTTTTCCAATGGAATAACTCTGGTCAATAACTCAGTTACCGAATCAACCGCGTCTCTGTCCAGTGGCCAAGGAAGAGCCTATGAGACTTCGCGCAGCTCCTTCAGGGCATCAAGGATGTCCTACCACATCGGCGACAGCACGAAGACACGCTCGCTCCTCTGTCAACTGCACCTTTTCAAGAAGCATTTCTCCACAGCAGCAAAGTTTAAGGAAGGGAAAGCTGAATGTGAAATGCGCTCTATCCGTCAGGAATCTTCAGCCGTATACTGCGGTGAGTCCATAAAATATATCATTTGGAGGTCATGCTATATTCGTGAGCGTCGCAGGGATGTTCCATAGGCAGGGTCAAGTGGACAGGTGCGATGCGAATGCCACGGGACGGCACAATGTTGACGCCCGCTCGCGGTGCATCACGTTATTCACGTTTGGCGAGAACCTCATAAGCGTCGCCCAGGACGATGTCAGAAGTTCTATGTTCATGTCATTCAACGGCCATATAGTCACCAGCACAAAGACCGCCTTCAAATTCGCAGTACACTCGGAGCCGAAGGCAGCCAGTGGTGTGCATACCTTAATGACTGGGAGAGGCGAAAGGCACAAAGGAAAAACCTCTGGTATATGGTAATGGTGTGCAGTTCGAACCGGACCTCTTCTTTGAGGTCCAGAGGTGCGGAGATTTTGGGAAATGACCGGACCGAGCCGGACCGGGACAACACTATGAGGAAGACACATTCTCTCATGTCCAGCGTATGAACGCAGATGCGTGGCAGCGAGTGCAGGCAAAATCGTCCATAGAAATAGGCCAAGATGCTGCACGACCCGTGAGTATGCCTCAGCTCGGACCAGATGGTGACTTTTACGCGCTGCTTAGGTTTCCTAGCCTCCCTCGCCGCAGTGGGCGTGCATGGACTCGCATACCACTGCGCAGATTTTTCTTCCCTGTTGGTGAACGAAGCTGCGGGTATCACGTACACAGACAATGGCGTCCCGGAGCGCTTTGACACTATCCTTGCCAACCATGGGGCTAACCTTGCGAGGATCCGAGTATGGACGGCCGGTGACTACAACCTGTCCGCCGCTCTAGCGGTCGCCAAGCGGGCTCAGGGTGTCGGGATGCAGCTGTTAGTGGATCTGCACTATAGTGATAGCTGTGAGTGTTTGATGCTGACCCAGCGATTGCGTACTCGGGCACTTATCTTACCGTATTCTAACGTTTCGTCATAGGGGCTGACCCGGGAAAGCAATACATTCCTTCAAGCTGGCCTACTGACTTGGCTGGGTTACTCCCAACAATATACAAGTGAGTATTGCCCCTATAGCTCGGACGGCAATATGAACCAGCTTTACGGTCAGCTATACGAGGGACCTGGTCATGGCATTCAATGCTCAGGGAACCCCCATCACATTCTTACAGGTCTGTCTGACCGATAGTATTTAAAGGGGATGCTGAAACACCTTTAGATTGGCAATGAAATCAACAGCGGTATCCTATGGCCAGTGGGTGAGATCTCGCAGACGGGCTACGGGCCCCTCTCACAGCTCCTTCACTCGGGAGTCATGGGCGCTCGTGCTGGCTCCTCCACACTGAAGACTATGATCCACCTCGCTAACGGCTGGGACCTACCTGAGCTGACCAGTTGGTACCAAGGGGTCCTGAGTGTTGAGGGAGGCCTCACGCTGGCCGACGTGGATACCATGGGTTTCTCGTTTTACCCCTTCTATGGCACTGGGGCGACATTGAGTGCATTGCAGACGAGCATGATGAATATTACACAGACCTATCGCAAGGTAGGCCGATCATTGAATTGCCCGGTTTCATCATTATCAACTGTCGACCTGCGTAGAACTTTATGATAGTGGAGACGGACTGGCCGGCGGTATGCTCAGGCGTCGCGCTCAGTGAGCCTTCGATTCCTGCTTCTGTGCCCGGCCAGGAGACATGGGTGGAGGATATCAGGAACACGCTGCAAAACGTGGTGATCGATGACGGGGAGAACGGGATGGGCGTGGTAGCACTCGGTATTTGTTACTGGGAGCCTGGATGGATCGGCAACGCTGCTCTGGGATCCGGCTGTCAGGTGAGCGTTGTCTGTACCGATCGGATGTCAAAGCGAGGTGCATTAATCACCTAGCGTAGGATAATCTGCTCGTGGACTCAGCGGGAGCTACAAGACCTTCTATCAGCATGTTCTCTCTTGATATGTAGGGGATTATGTACATTTTTTCCATCGCATTTCATGGATCACGGGAGTATATGGCACACAAGGTGCTCAAACGCGCGATGAATAAGGCTTGTATATTTTTGCGCCATGAAATCGGGAGTACGTGCTCAACAGACGCAATGGAGAGGTATCCTTGCTGCCCTGGTAGACATCTGCAGCCTTGCAGTGCGTCCAATTGCAGGAGGGCGGCTAAGCCATCCTGGGTTTAGTTTCGAAAGGGAGGGCACTCCTTCGTTCTTATTGAGGTGCTTTGGCAAGGGACACGCTTGAAGTCCGGAAGCCATAAAGTATACCCTCCCAAGAGGATGCTACCCCGAGGAGAATACACCGAAGGGCTTCTGAGCTCCAAGGATATCAAGGACGCCTGCTGCGCCTTTGTTGAGCCTTGCACTGATCGCTGTCGATATTTTCTGCCGTTTAAGAGTCACCCGCACGTACCCATCTTCAACGTCCACCGGTCAATGCAGCGGGAAAAAAATGAACATAGACCCTATCATTTTCTTCTGTAGGGATGGTGGTCTTATAAGCAAGCGCCCACTGGATAAGACACGACTCAGGCGGTTGCAGAAATATGAGACCATGGGAGGACGAGTTCGAAAGTCATGGTCGGTGGCCCAATAATCCATCCGGTCTCCATAGAGCATATCAAGCGTACGGCAGAATTTAACCGTCGTCAATTTTGCATGCGGTCGTCGTCAATTTTGCATGCGGTCGTCGTCGTCGTCGTCGTCGTTGTCGATAGCGGTGAGCCTCGGAGTGCAGAGTAGAGTGACGCCTGCGATCGTATGAAGTCACGTCACACTCCTCCTCCTCCTCCTCATCCCTTCCGTCCAATCCGCCTATTCCCTAGCTTCAAGAGAACTGGTTTCTTTTCACGAATTTATCTTTGACTCTGCTTTGATTTTGTCTGACCGCTTGCTTTTACATTCTTGTTGCTCGTGGGACACTGGGCTAGAGTATGAGTTTCGAAGATGTTCAGATCACTATCCCAGGTGCGTATGTTAATCTTTGTAAAGGAGGATCGTACTCACGAATATTAAGACCTGGACGATGATGCGCTCTACTCTACACCAATACCTTTTGGGCGGACTCCCGGTGGCAGTGGCTTTGGATATGGCGGGATGGGCTCGGGGCAAGAGTCACCGACTGCCATGACCCCTTTGGCTCTTCCTGAACGAGCGGAGAAGAGCTATTTTCACTCCCGTAACGACTCTGTGGCGTCTGAGGACTCTTCCCAGTCTTTCTCTACGCGGCATACGACGACTGGCAAGACGACCGCCGCGTTCGGTCATTCCGCCTCAGCTTCCATTACTACGACAAATACGACGACTAGTGGTCCCTCATTCACGAAGAAGCCCTCCTTTGCTTCGATCCGCAATGCTTTCAAGAGCGGCAAGTCTAGTGATGCTCCCCCAGTGCCCCCTCTCGATAAAGAGGCCTATCCTGTGCTGAAGAATCCTTTCAACCGATCGAACTCCTCTCTGGCTCATGCAACCCCTTCGCGGCGACCTACCGTGACTGCTAGCCCGTCCGCCGCACGACCTCCGACACCTGGTGGTGATGGACGACACTACCGTGGAGTCACTGCCAAGTCGAAGGGACATGCGTCTGCTCGTTCTCAACACTCTTATACCGGGTCTATATTCCATAGTTCTGATACCGGGAGCGACGTTGGCCATGGAGGATCTTCGTCTCCCCCTCCTTTGCCGCCTATGCCTGACGTGTTTTCGAGTCAACCGTCGCGCGGGGAGACACCACCACTGGAATTCGACGACAATATCGTGATTGAACCTCGCACACCGGCTGAATACGCGCTTCACGCAATCTTCATGCGATTCGTCGCGTCTGCCGAATCTAAGATAGATGCCTTTCTCAAGGAGCCATTGGTGCGTCTATTTCAGTTTAGTATATAATAGCTCGCTCACACCTACCCCGTATTTGTCTTCGGCGGTCGTTAGGATCACGATCCAGCCTTGGAAGATTTCATGGGCCCAGGAACTGATTCGAAATTTGATGAGCTACTGAATTCCTTGGGCAAAGTCGCGCATAAGAATGCAAAGCCTGTGATAGATTCTATCATGCGGTGGCGGAGAAGCCAGAACGGTGACATGAGTTCGGAAGTCATGCGGACCCACCTGTCTCAATCGCCTTCGGCCGGTCGCGGAGTGAAGATGCAAGACAGCAGGTTCATCCTGGCAGAGCGCAAATCTTTGGCGTCGGTATATGTCATGTGTCGCGCCCTCATAGCCGTTATGCAGTCCATATCCAAGGATGCTCTGAGTGACGTCGTTGGTTACGAGCTTGAAGATATCACGTTTGAGCAATTCAAGACGCCCTATCTCAAGCTACTAAATCAATCCGGGAACCATAAGACGAACGCGGAGCTATACGCGACTTTGTTAGGCCTCATTGCAAACGTCAGGTACTGTTTGCGGTGTTTCGATGTGGACGGCATTCTCAGAAGTGCTGGATAGGTTTGAGAGCGTCACGGCCAAGTTCTTGTACGAATTGCAACCAGTCGCTGCTGGTCAAGTGCCGAAGGACCTCGACATGAAGTATGAAAGTCTGATCCGGGGACTGCGACACGTACAAATCAAGGTGACCCATTTGTTGTATGCAGGCTGTCGAGATTGACTCGGTCTCATCCAGGTTTGGCCTCCAGAAGCTTTCGAGGAAGGCGCAGAGTTCTTCGAGTCGCTCTCGAAGTCTTTCGCGAACGCACACGGGTTTCGTCTGAAATCGGCCTTCGCGGAGACTCTTGTGCAGATACTGCATCCGATCGGCAAGGTATGTACCTTGCGCAATACTTGTGCTATCGAAATGAAAACGTCGCGATAGACAGCTCAAGCCGAGGTCAATCATCCTGACTGGGCAAAAGCCATTGAAGCGGTCTATCCGAGAGCGAAGGATATGATGGGCAAGCCGCGTTACTGGCACGTTGCATATCCGTTAGCTATCACCAGTCTGTGTGTAGCCCCTCAAGAGTACTTCCTTCGAAACTGGATGTCATGCTTTGAGGCTGGGCTCGCCAAGATTAAGGTATCTCTCGCTCCTGCCTCCCTCAAAAACACGATTACATTGCTTACCCGTCGCAGGACAAACCTCACCGCGCAGCCGTCATGAATGGCTCAATGCGACTGATATGGACATATTTGTATCGATGTTATGAGCCGACTTCCACAGCGACATCCAAGCTCGAGTCTTTGCTGAAGCACTTCTTCCCACTCAATCGACAGTCTCTACCACCTCATGACGACCATCTGGAGCCCTTCATTCATATAGTACATTTCGTACTATCCCGGCACTTCGATTGGGGAGCGGAATTTTGCTTGGAACTGATGCAGGAACAGATGATCAATGGGTCCTCTCTGACCAACCTGATCAGTGTCCTTTCACCGGAGAGGCTCACTATCAGCGTCAAAGCTATCCTGCTCTCCCTCAGTCTGGTAGAGAGAGAGGAGAGGGCGCCGTCCTGGCCCAGTAATCCGGACTTCTCTGCGATTATCACCTCTGGGGACTATCCCACTTCTTCTGGTTTTCTTGCTGAGTCTGTCCTGCAGAAGTCTGGTGTGCAAGACTTGGTCACACGGTGCTCATCTATCCTTGCACACATTGCCGGAGTCAGCGCCAACGCCATCATTCAAATGTCGGTTCTCGACGATCAATGGTCAGGGGCGTCGCGTCTGACACAAGCCTACGAAGAGGCGCACATGTACGCCGTACGACGAACTCCGGAGGGCCTTGTCGCATATCCGATCCAATATATTCCTCAGATTGGATTCCTCCAGACTTGTTTCGAGTCTTGGCCCCGGCTGTTGCACTCGAGTCTTACCGTGGATGACTCACTGGATATGCTCATAAGGGGCGTCGTCCACGTTGAGCCTAGCCTTGCGGAAGCTGCTTCTGGTGCTCTGCGTCGCTTCATGGAGAGTGATGAGCACGCCTTGTTGGTCCTATCGCGGTTCTCTAGGTTTCTCTTCGGGGCGCATTCTATTTCTCAAGAGGGCTCTGGATTAAAGCTGACCATCGAAAGTACACGGTTGCGGAAACTCTGGACAAGTCTCATTGATGGCTGGATCCACGGGATTTTACAGCAACCTCTCGATTCTGCTCCACAGGATAGAGAAGATCTGGCTGCAACTTTAGACGAATTGGAGTCCGGTGCTCTCTTCCTGTTGACTCATGTTGATCAACGGATTCGCAGCGCAGGGGTTGAGGTCCTGCGTGCCCTGAGACTGTTGGTCGACCGCATACTAGCTGAACCATCATCTTCGCAGTCTGAGCCGCGTCCCGCCCGCATGCTGCATCTCTTACACGGCGAACTGCCGAGCAAGTCTTATCTGGATGGCTACGATAATCTCATCAAAAGAGACGAGGAGCTGGATCGACTGAGTCAATGGCGGCGATCACAACGAGTCGATATTCCTCTGCGAATGGCTGACAGTGCCGATGCCAGAGACTATGCGGTATGGGAGCAGGTATACCCCACGCTGATTCGTCTCGGCTCCAGTTCCTATTTTTTTTCCAAGGTTCTTGGAAAGTTTCGTGAGGCCGTAGCGGCCGGTGCGGGCCGTTACCATCCTTTGATGGCAGCTATAGCGGGGATCAACAGTAGAGCGCAGACCGGTCTGCCTAATCGTAACCAATCTGGAGGCGAGAAGGAAGGCGGGAAGCTTGTCTTTGACAACATGGATCACATCAGGCAATGGCGGATGTGGATGATCATCATCTGCAAAACGGCTGCTTCGGACACTCGTACCGCCGTGGTCAACCGCGAGCACGCTAGGGTGCCCTCAGAGGCTAACTTCGATCGTGAGCGGTTAACAACTACTCGTGGCCTTTTTAGACTGCTGGCCCCCTTTCTGGATTCTGAACACACGGTCTTCCGCGACGCCGCGGTTCTGTCTATCAGTTCTTTCCCTTCTGAGGGCTACACTCAACTTCTAGACGATCTCAATAACCTGGCAGCACGTCAATTCTACGACGACAGATTCAAGATGAACACCCCACCTGCACCGTCTCGCACAAGGAGACAGGAGCGTTTCTATGCTGCTGTTGCCCGCATCTACTATTTGACGGCGCATCTGATTCTCGATCAGCGGGCCGCTGCCAGGCAGCCTGCGTTATCCAATATCCTCAAGTTCGTACGACACACTCAGGCGTTTCTCACTAGCCCCGAGTCGCGTGATAAGTACATGCTCCAGCGCCTGCGACGCTACTTCTGTGGCGCCGTCGAGAGACTGTTTGATGGCATGTCTACTTTGAAAGACTCTGATCGGTTTGTTCCATACAGGATGCATCTCCACCTGTATCGACTCTGTGAGGACTGGTGTCAACTAGGGCCACAATCGGAGGGTGTGAGACAACGGCTGATCTACATGCAACGGGCCGCGTCAGATGTGCATGATCCGCAGAAGCAAGCCGAGGGTGTAAGACGATTCCAGACTGAAACGAAAAAGCTTTCAAAGGCTGCAATAGGTGCAATGGCGTCTGTATGCGTACGTAGAAGCGCCCCCTTCTGTCAGACTTTCCATCTGAATTATTCCTTATATAAAGGCGAAGGCATTCTTTCCTCCAGAGGTTTCTTCTGGGTCACCGACTGATAATCACGGTCAAGAGCCCGTCAAGCCTTTAGATGCGGCGTCTACGCTGGATCGATGGACCTCGATACTAGCTTCTTTTGACCCATCTGATCAAGCGTACGCGAAGTAAGGTGTACATGTTATGTACGACGTACGCTGTACTTATTGCCCTTCAGGAAAGCCCTACGAACACTTCTAGGTTACCCCACGCATGATGCCACTCTGATGGAGGAAGCCTTACGCCGAGCTGTCGTTCTCTCCAAAGACCTTGACACCAGCAATGCTCGCTTTTTCGAGATCGTTGCAGAGGTATTATGCGCAGTTCCCACCCATGGTTTCTCTTTCAGCCAGATCGTATGGCTGGGATTGTCGAATCTCTGTCACGATCTTGTCGAAATACGCCGTCTGGCCCTCAACGTTCTTGGAGTTGCTCATGAACAATGGTCCGGGATATTATCATTGGATAGGTTCGAAGCAGCCGTAGGCAGCCTAGCGCCGAGTACTTATCTCCACGCCCATCGCCTCGTCTCCGACGTCCTTGCAGGCGAACATCCCCAGTATGCAGGCCAGGTGCTTAGTCAATTCGTGACATGGATGCCCCGAGTTCTGGACGGTGTTATGGGGAAGACCAATCTGCTCCTGCTTCAAAGTCTGGAATACTGGATATCTAATATCGATCTTTTGCCCGATGACAAGGCCCATCTTACGACCGAAGGTCGATCTTCTCTGTATAACCTGATTTTCCTCACCCTCCGCTACAGCACTAGCCACGCAGAGCAAGTTCTCATGCTTTGGACTCGACTAGTGGATAGTCCTCATCAACACAATGGACATGCAGCTATCCGGTTTTTACTCGAGCAGTCGCACAAAGTGGGAAGCAGTGTCTATGTTGATTGCGCCAGCAAGGTGGTCGCTTGCTTATCCCAAAGTGTCGTAGGCCGCCAGATATTCGAAGATTTGTGTGGTATCATTGAGCCTGCACGAATGCTGCCTACAATCGAGCACAAGCTCGCAATACCGTCTGCAGAGGAGCTTGAACTCTGGTCCGATTTAGATGCCCTCTTCTCCGAACAGCCTCGACTGTCTCTCGGTGCTGGCCAATTTGCCATGCTCTTCCTGGCAGACGTTGCTCTGGAACGACAATGGGAGCAGCAAACTCAGTTACCGGGGTTACTCCACGCCCTGTTTGTGCATATCGATCACCGCGTTCCATTCGTTCGACAGCGTACAAGGCAAATGTTGTTTCAATTACTCCGTACATGGATCCCGGGTTACGACGAGCTACATGAACGCTCAGCATACTCCGACAGGGCTTCTCTTCGATCTACGATAGTTGAGCTGGAAAAGGAATCGGGATCGATATTCTGGCGGGACGACGAACCTGCTGCACAATCTCAGCCCAAAATGAAGACGTTATGTACCCAAGTCATCAGCATTCTAGAGCCTTTGCATCCGAACCTTGCGGATAAATGGGGTTCACTTGCCTTGACATGGGGAACGGGATGCTCTATCAGAGCTATCGCCTTTCGGTCTCTCCAAGTATTTCGTGCCTTGATGCCGCACGTGAGCAAGTCCGACCTCGCTCTGCTGCTTGGACGCTTGTCCAGCACAATTTCAGATGAAGATGAGAACATACAGAACTTCTCAGCCGACCTCATCCTTACGCTGAGCGCCATATCGGGGTCAGACCACTTTGACCGGTCATCCTTGCCGCAATTGTTCTGGACTGCATATGCATGCCTTGCCACAACGGTTGAGCGGGAGTTCCAGCAGGCTCTCGTTCTGCTTCAATCACTGCTCACCCAGATTGACCTCAATGACAAAGAGATCACGTCATATATATCGTCTCATCGACCTAGGGATTGGTCCGGATTTGCCACTCTCCAAGCTTCACTGCTTACTGGCTTGCGATCTTCTGTCACGTCCAACTTGACCTTCACCATACTGCAGATGCTGGTGGCCGTAGATGACGGTGAGCTGATTGACCCATCGGAGGGCCGCCTGAGGGATGTCTACACAGCCTCACTTCCGTGGCTCCTGCAGGCGAAGTCGTCGGAGACCTACGACGAGTCTCTCCTACATTTTGCGAGGAACCTGTCGCGCCTAGCTGAAAAAGAGGAAAGGCAAAGTATCAGTCGAATTCTAGACTCTTTCGCCAACAGACGGTTCCGTACCACCGAGGATTTCTTGCGGCAGTCAGTCGGAAGTCTCAGGGAGCACTATGGGATAGATCATTGGGCCGAGGTCGTTACTCTGCTCCTCAGTCTGACCTTGAATAACCAACGGTGGCTACGGATACACTCCTTGCAAATACTTAAGGTACTTTTCCAGCAGAGAGAGACGCGACAACCTGTCGACCGTCTAGGGTCGGAGCTGCTCATGCCTCTACTGCGACTATTGGAGACTGATCTCGCGCCAGAAGCACTCAGCGTTCTTGAGGAACCTATGACGATTTCAGGAGGTCCATCGGCGAAGCACGTCCTTCGTATGAGCATGAATATGAAGGCGATGCCGCAGCACGTTGAAGTTACTGATATTTTCGGTATTCCAGAGGAATCCGGTTGGTGTGTGGCTCGACCTAGCCTTGCACAAGAAATATGTCGTGCCAACGTCATTGCTGTCTTCGATACGTGTAAGGTACCGACCCGGCCGTCGCGAATCGATTTCCATCCCGACGAAATCGAGGCCACCATAGATCGTCCGGACGATAACTTGGGTGACCTCGTGCAAAATCTCCACGAGCTCAGTATGTTCTTCCAAGAGGGAGACTCTGAGGAGCGGGGCCAAGTCCATGTGCCATTGCCCACCCGGCAGGTGGAAGCCCGAGTGGCTGCGATCCTGGCCAAGTCGACGGACAGCGCGACGGACGCCCCACAGACACCATTCGCAGATGTCTTCGAGATCAATGATTTATCTGGGTTCGAAGATTCAGATGAGGACTCTGGCAGTGACTCCGAATCGGATGCTTTCGTATTTGATTCCCTTGATCATCTTTCACTCTCACATAGCAATTCTCTCAACGGATTCTATCAATAGCATTGCTGTCTTCATGTGTTGTTAAACTGTTGTCCTTGCGGATTTCTAAGTTAATTGCAGTTTGTATCAGTATATGTATCATTAGCACCGCTCTTGCAGCAGTTGCATAGATGTATAGTACATTAATGCATAATACGCCAGCCGGGGCATACCATTTCTCATTTAGCATCGCTCGAAGACTCGGTACAGATCAGGAAGGTTTGCGACTTGCACGATATCCTGGTCCAACAAAGTCTTGGGAGGACACAAATATCGCCGTAACGACGGAAATAGCACATGCTCGACCTGCCATCGTTCAGCTTTCTCTTCGTCCGGAACACCATCGGATGAGTCCTGGACTAAGGGTCCCGGCACATAGAAAAGCGCCAGTTCCCTTAGGAATGTCTCGAAACATTCTTTTTCGGAAGTCCAATCTACCTGGAGTACCACGTCATGTTCCTTCCTCTGATCGGGGCATGTCAACATACCTGAGGACCGAGGCGCATCAGGAAGGACGGCAGTTTGTCCAGATTGGGAGTATAGCCTCGGAGCAAGAGGGGCAGATATTCAACCGCGCCATTTTCACTTATACCCAGAGAGAAGTACTCCTGCAACATCTCTCTTCTCGCGATCAGTGTGCTAGTGATAATCTGCATTACATCATTAATACATGCAGATTATATGGGTCTTCTAGCTCACCTCCACGATTTGCTCCTTCGAGTACCTACTCTTCGTGGTGCCCTCTTCTGCATCGACCGCCAGTTTGATCATCGTCTTCAAGGCAGGTGGCGGGTTCAATTTGAATCTACTCATATTCCCGAATTGTCGTAATCCGAGCTGGTAAAACAGCTCCTGACTACAGATAATCGGGTTCAGATCCATTCACAGTAAGCACAAATAGCACACATACGCGAAGGCGTCATGATTCAGAAGGTATAGTCTCGTAGAGTGTTGTATCAAAGAGAGGCAACGCTTCACATCTACTATGCCAACAAATATGTGCTTGTCGAGGATCTCTGTCAGGTCTGTCGCAGCATTAAACCTCCGTCTTCCCGTAGTATCTGAGTAGGAGCAATGAGCAAACTCACGTTTATGTCTGGCTTTTTCGACTTCTCGGCGGAGGTGCTGCACCGACGTGAGGTAGCATTCCGACTGCTTGATTTCTCGAAGCTTGATGGCCTGCGGGCTGGCGTCGCCCTCACCTCCGGACGGAGGAGTTATGATCTGCGACGGATTGACCACCGGGAACATGGAGTCCAATGTCCGATCCTGAGTAGACGTGCGGACTTTGTGGTGCGAGTATACTTTCTTCTTCAGCTCTGTGCACTGGTCAGTTTCCTGTGCCTAGGAGACCGCGGGCTCACATACCAGTGGACGGTGCCGGATCTTGGTCCGCTTCCGCTTCAGGGTCTGGAATGTTTCTCTCCTTCTCCTTCTCCTTCCCTTTACTCTTCTGGGATTTAGCGGGTGGCTCCGTGATGCCCCCGGTGAGCGTAGTCTGCAAGCATTCGTCCATTACCATGCATATATGCTACCCGGGGAGCATCTCACCTGGTACTCGAACACTCGAGAGTGGCTTCGACCGGCGAGTGCCTCCTGAATGGCATCGCAAATATCCTCGATGATCATGTCTTCGTTCAAGAAGTGCACTTCGCGTTTGGTGGGGTGCACGTTGACGTCTACGGATCGCGGGTCGATGTGTAGACTACGTCGATCCGGGCTAGATGTCAGTCTTCCAAGCTTATCCAGAGCGATAGATGTACCTGAGGTATATGTACGGCGACGCGCCCTTGGGGAGTATGCTGCTATAGACTGCTTCCAGGGAGCGCTTGATCCGGGAAGAATCGACAAGGCGGTCTAGACGTCGGATGTAATCCGTTTCTGGCTCTCGCCGCTGGTATTGTGAAGTCTGAGACTTACTGTTGATAAACAAAAGAAGAACAATCTTCTTCGCCTGATAGCTCGCGCTGGTCACGTATGCTTCGGCCGACCAGGCTTCTGGATCGTCTTGCTCGCTGACCTCTTCGTCCTCGTCCACTTCCATCGAGTCTTCGTCGCGGGACTTGATCCTGCGATGTTTCGACTTCCTTGAAGAGGCAGTAACGTGTATCAGCTCTTTAGCGACGGAGTGGCCGTACAGGAGTCGGATGGCTTGCTGGGTTGTCGAGCCAGAGGGTGTGGATAGGTCCGCCGACGGCGAGCCGCCCTATAATAAACAGATAACATCATCCTATGGCCCTAGAACTTGTCCAGGTTCTCCGTACCTTCTTACATGTGAACGATACCGTGGAGTTATGGACAGCATACTTCGTGATGACATCGAGGATGCGGGCGTATTCTTCCGAGGAACTACGCAGCGCAGAGAGGCGGGTAGGCGTGTTGTAGAATAAATCTTCTACCTACACATTTACCAGGTCAGTGTCTACGGTCAGGCTGTGGATGGTGTCGCTTAAGGTTAGGGCACTCACGATGATTGTGGTGCCTTCGTTCCCTGCGCATGGCTTAGGGTCTGGAGTGAGCCCGGCCTTAACTGGGACGAGCGAGCCGTCCTCATAGCATGCTCTGGTTGTTTCATCGTGAATAAGTAAGATTCTGAGAGCATATATAGCGATAATTGCCTACTTCCATGCACAGGTGTCCGACTCTGTCTTTGTTATGACAGACAGGTGAGCGACATGCGAAATGGAGGCCAAAGCTTCTCCACGGAACCCGTAGGTTGTCAACTGAGATAAGTCTGAGAAAGTGGATATCTTGGATGTGGCGAATCTTTCCGCGAGAAGCGGGAGGTCGGTTTTCTGAAGAGGCAGCACCTTAGAATACGATTCGCCATGGGTTCAGTTGTTTGCTTATTTGCTTACACGGATGCCTGACCCATTGTCTTGTATTTGAAGCAATTTCATACCGCCATCCTTGACGGTGACGCGTATGGAAGTCGAGCCTGCATCAAGACTGTTTTCTATCAGTTCTTTCAGAGCAGATGCGGGTCTGTGGATGATCTGAGCAGCATTGTTATGCGCTTTAGACTTTCTCAGCCTCTTGAACGTGCTGTAGACGTACTTCGCCCGCCGCTATGCGGTTTATGAGAGATTCGTGCAGCCGCCGAATCGGTTTGGGGCCTGGAGGCTCCGGAGACTGCGAACGCGTTTGGTCCATGCTGATCCACAACCCTCACCGTCACCAACAAATCACGATGCACTCTAGCCGGTCACTATGCTCGGCGCTGGTTCTGGCTTCCTCTTGCGCCACAGGCGCCACGGCGTACAGAAGGTTGCGCACAGCGTCCACGACTGCTGTAACGCCAAAAGATATGCGTCCAAGCAATACCGGCGTCCTGTAAAGAATACAACGCTTTGTTTACGGCTTGAGACAAAGGAGAACGTGGACGCTCGTAGACGCGGCTGGATGCCCGCATAATAACGTCACGTTCACATTGCCATCAGACGCGTCTGTCAGCACGTGACGCGCGCGACGCGTTGGATAAAAGCCGTAATTTCACAGCGTCATTCGTTTACTTCCGACGACCACCATCAAGCGCGTATACCCCCTCGACAACGATGCCCGCGACGACGACGAAACATGCGTTCTCCTTTCCGATGGTGCCCGCGTCCGCGCCAACGACGCCCGCGCCCGTGTCGCGTTCCACCAGGTCGGATCGTCAGGCGTTCTCCCCAATCACCCCACAGCGCCTCAATCGCGGACACCGACACCAGTTGACCTCACCCATCACTCCAGCCAGCACGATGTCTACGCCTTACACCCCTCTCAGCCTTCGGTCTTTCACGTCCTCTGACGCGTCGATGTTGGATACCCCTATTTCCGTTCTGGGCGGCAAGCGCCTGAACTCGTCGATGTCACCCGAGGTCCACACTCACAGCAAAAATAAGCACAGCGTGGCGGATATTACCGATAACTGGAGGTCTCGTGCAAAAGAAAACGGTATCAGAGTCACGCCCAGCCAAGAATCCCGTTACGCCGATGATGAAGGTACGCCACCGCTTTCATTGTTGATCGCATATACTGACCCTTTTGACTCTTCCTCCATAGCCAGCGACCCTGAGTACTCCGAGAATGCGCCCCCGGCTCAGTTTGTAAACGATCAAGGTGAGTGGAACTTCAGTGTATGTTCATGTTACCTGGGAAACTGATGTGCGCCTTCCATTCCATTCGAACCTGTAATAAAGGTGAGACAAGTGCATTGTCCAATGTACATGCTGGCTAACCATGAAGTACAGCTCTTCTCCCTCCCGCATTTCTGTCAACCCATCGTCGCGCTCGCGCGTTGTCACAATCTAACATTGCCGTGCAGCCCGCATCACCCCAGATCCCTTCGACACCGGATCGCCGAACCCTTGCAGATTTGAACACGCCACCCCCCAAGGCTGTAAACATTACGCGGTTGAAAATGAAGGGAAGTATGACCGATCCAGCAATCCCACGTCGCCGCCCAGCCTTTGGTCAGGTTCAGGTACGTCTCGCATTGCACTTTATACAGTAACAAATTCTGACTGTTCCTGTAGTCCAATGTGGAGTTGTTCGATATAGGCGAAGATGAATATGCGCCATACCCTCAGACCTTTTCCCCTGCCCAACCCTTTTCACACTCGCATTCGGTTTCTTTCAGTGATCCCTTCCATGTCCGCTCCCTGTCTCCTATCAACGAAGGGGCGTTCCACTTCAACGACTTCCAAGAAGCTGAGGCTCCTTGGCCTATCGAATCCACGAGCTGCTCGGTCTGCGGCCGTGAAGCTAGTTCTTTGGCCATTCTCGATCCTTGCGGGCATCCGCTCTGTTCTGGATGCCTCACCAGCGCCCTGAATATTGTTGGCGAGAAGGATATGCAATGTGCCGTCTGCAAGACCAGTGTCGACGACTTCCATCTGAAGAACGTTCCTGTCACTGGCTCTGGGAGTGCGCCCACTTCTAGGCCGTCGCCGAAAGTGATGGATGATAGTCCCCTCAATGGTTTCGACGATGCCGAGCTCTTTTTCGACCGTCTGCAGGGAGCTTCTACCCCGATCGAGGATGTACCTAGGGCCGGCGATTATCCTGTTCTTCGCATCGACAATGTTCCTTGGGTACGTCGCCCATGTTCTCGTCTGCTTTCCAGGTTCTAACTGTCCCAACCAGGACATCACGCCCCCTGCTATTACTGCCTGGCTGAAGCACCCGGTTGTGCGCGTCCATGTTCTACTCGACCGCAAGGGCAAGACGCTGAGCCATGCGTATGCCGAGATGGTCAATGAGGACGCCATGAAGAAAGCTCTCCGCACTGCTCAAAACGCCGTCTTGGGCAAAGGCAAGAGAGCCCGTGGCGTCACCGTCACCCGCAGCAACCAGGAGGAGCTGATGAAGGCCCTCTTCCCGTCGTGGCAGGGCGCGTTCGATGGCTCGAGGCCGTCGCTTGCTGGCTTGACCAACGACGTTGTCATTTCGACTCTTGGATGTGGCTTGATGTCGGAGTCTGAGCTGAATGCTTTGTTGCATCTCATTCGCTCTCCTGATGTAAGTGCTGTGATGTACCTGTCTATGTCGTCGACTGCTTACGCCCGTCTTTCAGTCCCACTTCCTGAAGGTGCCTTCGTTACCGTTCCATTCCTTGATCAGCATCTTGTCCAAGTTCCCTGCGGACGTGGATAGCAGGGTGTTCTGGTCGAGCAGTTTGAGGGATACCTTGTATGGTGAGTTGCAATAAACACGTTTGTTTTACCTGACCTGGTGACCGACTATCCTGCTTGCTATTTCTCGTATTTAGACGTCACTTCTGGTGAGTTACAACCTTGCTCTACTTGCCTCGGGCATGCATCTGACTTGGGGACTTCACAGCGGCAATCCAAGTTCTGGTCTCGCGTGTTAATGAGAACCAAGACCAGCAATATGTCGAACTCCTCCAACAGCTGGGCGAGATCGCGTTAGATTGTCAAGGTTAGTCCTATCCATCCCTTGCCTTTGCTTCATTGCTCAACCTCGGCCGTCTTCAGCGTTTACTTCCCAGCAGATCAGAGGTCTTGCTGACATGTTGGAGGCCGTCTCCGGCTTGCAGTTCTCCTCCCTGTCCCCCAATAACTCTTTCGGCAGCGCTACCTCTTCGGAGCAGCTCGCTCTCCAAGGTCCGCCTGGGCTACCCGCTCCCGCCAGGCGCGCGAGCCCCTCTGGTGACGCATTCGATGCGCTGGCCAGGGAGTTCGGAGTAGATGCGCATGTCGTGGAGGCGCTTGCGCAAAGGCTCACCGGCATGTGCTGAACTCCGTGTGCATCATTACCCTCCCATTCCGGCCTCACGTCTGCGACAAACACCGCCTAGAGCGTTCCTAATTTCTGTGTCTCCTTCCATCTTCCATCAATCGAATCAGTATTTGTCGTCTCCGTCGCTGCCTGTCTATTAAGGAATGTTCCCTTGACTTCCCTGCCTTGTCATGATGTCCCCTTCGCTGTCTATCGCTATCGTCGCTATCGAATTACTGTCCTCGCTATCGTCGTTGTCGAGCAATGCTCTCCACTGGGCCCTGTAGTTGTTCCATGGCTCTCCTTGTAGTTTATGATCATGTGTATCATGTTTAGGTCTTATAGATGCCTTCCGAATTGTCAATGTCGTATGTTCCCCGAGTATTGTCGGTTCGATTCAGTTGCGACATCGAGCCGGCGATGCGAGCGAATTTATTGGGAGAATCTGGCAGCACGGATAATCGGTACCGTGAACCCGGGCGCCAATCTAACGCGCCTCTCCTGATGTGGCTTGTCTCTTGTCTTTTACCACCATGTCCTGCATCGGATGACGGCTCTAAAGGGCGTGCGTGATGTTGCTGCGTCCCTCTCTAGGTCATCGGATGCTGCACGAGGCAGTTGCAGTACGGTATCGGCACCGTGGACGCCGTACATGAGGCCGCGGGGAAGCCAGATACTCTGCTAAGGTCTTATACTGCTTTCACTCGCCAGGATTCTGCATTACTGCACACCGAGATTCCGCGGCCAGCGGAAACCCATGGTCATGTCTTCTCAAGTATTTTTGGACAAATCGCCGATTTTAAAGCGGACAGAGTGAGACTGAGGGCGAGAACGGCGTCGCGATGCTCCCCCCGCTTGTGTTCCCCTTGCTTGTAGCAGCGGTCAATGTTGTAGCCGTCGATCCGCTCGTCGATGTCGATTACGCGAAGTACTTTGGCACGGCGCGTCCTGGAGGTGTAACGGATTGGCTTGGAATCCGCTACGCCGCTCCGCCTTTGGGAGAACTGCGTTTCGCGGCACCGCAGGATCCATTACCTGAGGAAGGTGTTCAAGTAGCAAACCAGGTACATAACGATGTCATTGGTCTTTTCTATTACTGATCTCAAGCACGCACTTATAGCACGGATTGATCTGTCTCAGAACCCCTGGAGATCCAACTGTTAACACGACTTCGGAAGATTGCCTGTTTCTGGACGTATATGCTCCGTCCGCTGCCAATGCCTCGTCAAAGTTGCCCGTGTACTTCTTCATCCAAGGTGGCGGCTTCGCTGAGAATTCCAATCCAAATTACAATGGCACAGGGCTCATCGAGGCGTCTGGGATGAATATCGTCGTCGTGAACTTCAACTATCGCGTTGGACCCTTTGGATTTCTCGCGAGTCAAGAGGTTGCCGAAGGAGGTAGTTTGAACAACGGTCTCAAAGATCAAAGGAAAGCAATGGAATGGGTGCAGAATTATATTAGTCGGGTATGCCGATGTTTGAAAGAATACATGCGCCAAGTTAACATTCCTCCTGCAGTTCGGTGGAGATCCTGACCATGTCGTGATGGGAGGCGAAAGTGCTGGCGCCGCCTCAGTGACATATCACTTGACAGCCTATGGAGGACGCAATGATGGCCTTTTCCAGGCAGCCGCTGCTGAATCGCAGTCATTCGCCACCATGTTCACTGTGGAACAAAGCCAGTGGCAGTTTAACAATCTGGTTCTGCGGGCGGGTTGCGCAGGTGCCGAAGACACCCTGGCATGTCTAAGAAACCTGACCGTGGCCGAACTCCAGACGGTAAACATACAGACCCCGTTCCCTGGCGCGCAATACGCCCCTTTGTATATGTACGGCCCGACAATCGACGGCGATCTTATTCCTGACTACACGTACCGTCTGTTCGAGCAAGGCAAGTTCGTTCGAGTCCCGTCTATCTTCGGCGACGACACCAACGAAGGAACTATCTTTGTGTACAATACCACCAACACGATCGGCGAATCGGATACCTTCCTGCAGGCGCAGTTCCCCTACATTACCCGTGCGCAGTTAGCGAAGATCAACATACTGTACCCGGTCACGAATGACACCTTCCCCGCAGCGCCTAATGCTGGAAAGTATTGGCGCCAGTGCAGTAACGCCTACGGCGAGATACGTTATATCTGCCCTGGTGTCTATATCTCCGGCGTTCTAGTCCAGGCAGGGGTTACTGATAGCTGGAATTACCACTACAACGTCGAGGATCCCCAGCAGACTGCCGAGGGGTATGGGGTGCGGCACACCGTGGAGACGAACGCGATCTGGGGCCCGCAATACGTAACTGGCACGCCGCCCGCGTCGTATAACACTACCAATGCGGGCGTGGTCCCTGTCATGCAGGGGTATTGGACGAGTTTCATCCGGACATTCAACCCGAACACCTATCGCTACAATGGGTCAGCGGAGTGGGGCACCTGGGGCGAGCAGGGGTACCAGCGGCTGCTCATTCAGGGCAACGGGACTTTGATGGAGACGGTGCCGGCAGACCAGCAGGGGAGGTGTGCTTATCTCTCAAGTATCGCGGTGGAACTAAGGCAGTGAAAGTGGAAGTCTTAAGGACGCGCTGTATATATCCTTGGTTTTGTGTCGATTGGATGGCTTACTGCTTGCATACTGCATAGACAGTGATCTGTGTAAGACAGCTTTGGTAGGCATACGTTGTTCGTCCATGGGCGAAAGAGTATGGCTGGTCATGGCTTCTTTTTGGAGCTCGACCTTCGACATGCCGGGTCCTACCATGCATATGCCAGCGTGCCCCTGCTCTGCAGGGGTTTTGGCCCACCTACCGGTATTGGCCGATTCCAGCCACCGCGCCCACACTGTGGTACCACTAGGGGTGCTCAATTATTGATCGTTCGGATCGATCGTTTGTGCAGCAATTCCCGTCACCGTAGGGAGTGGGTCTTAGACCCTCGGACGTTCGCAGGTTTCCTGCGATCGTTTCAAGATCTGAGGGAGCATGAGTTGCCACATGGCTGCTACTTTTTCTGGTGAGCGGCAGGTACTATCATTGAGGGGGTTCTGCAAATTTTGCAGAACCCCCTCACCCCCCTATATCTCGTTCCACACTCAATCAAAAAAATCAAGTAAGCTCAGACAGGTAGATATACACTAGAATACACCCTCTGTGCAGTCAGAATGAGAATATCTGCTGTGATTCAGGACAGGGAGAGAAAACACATCGTCTCGGCCATGGGAAAGAAACAATATGTCCTAGATCTCTCGTGATGAGCTCAATCAACCGGCGGAAGCTGGGATGGGGTATCATACAGTATAGAGGGCATCTAAAGGATAGTATGCCAGCCCGATAGATGAAATAGTGAGTGTGTCGAGATAGAGAGGTGACTTTGCACATCTCCTGAGCCCATATCGTGACAAAAGAGTGACGCCGCTCGCGGCGAGGTCCCACTGTGACCGTGTGTGACGTACTTTTGCAGAACCCCCTACATGGACCGGCATATCTTTCGCACCTTCTACAGGCTGCGTAAAAATGCACAAAAATAATGAGGACGTTCATTACTAAGTTACACACAATATACGAAAGATCCGATAGAAATCCGTCAAGTGTGGTGCGACAGGCCGAATCCGATACTTTTTGCAGAACCCCCTCAATGATAGTAGGGAATTCTCCCTGAATTGATGGCAACGGGGTTTTTGTCGGACCCCGATAATAACAGCGCGTGAGCATTTTCTTTTCACAGCCAAGGCGGCGGAAACACTTCGTCACTGTTGCCGTCTCAAGGGAAAGGCAAGCCTGAGCTAGGACTGCAGAGGATATAAACGGGGTCACGAATATATGTCATGAATAGAGTACTTACCACCATCCTGGGCATTCGTGGAGACGAAATACCTGGAAATGAGTGGAGCACAAATGCTTACAGTGCTTTGCATAAAAGTCCGGAAACTGCGTTTCGCGTGTTTCTGTTTGTCCTAGCCAAACAGTACCTTATAGGGTAACGCGTCACCAAGGGTGCGACGGTTCTTCGAGTCAGCCTATATCGCTCCTGGGACACAAATGCCCGTCTCAAGGCTGAATGACGTTCAGAGCTGTATTTCTTCAGCATATCGAGCATGCAGAGGTCAAAATCCCCCAAGAACGACCCTCATACATGGATGTCGAAGCGTCGCGCCAACTAGTCAACAGCCCGCGCTATGGTGATCGACTACCCCATATAGGTTTGTTTGGCTGGCACAAACAAAATTTCGCGAATCACGATTTCCGGCCAGGCTCCTAAACCATCCGTCCTTAGCGTTCTCGCTCCTCCTTTACTAGGGCACACGTGCGGTGCTATGTAATACAAATCTATTTTTGATTTATTACCGGATACAGAACGAACAAGAGGAGGAGAACGCTATAGGACGGCTGGCACAAATGTCATCGCCGAGATCCCCGAGGCTGACTAAGCGGACGGTGGCTGAAGCCTTTCAGCAGCGGTCGGCGGGCCTTCACGCAACCATTTACAACTTATTACCTTGGGATTTACCGCTCGGAGTACTTTATAGCAATGTAAAAATGTCCTGACTGAGTGGTATACTCATGCAATGGTTATCAGTAGTACCGAAGGCTGAATATCCGGCTGAAGAGGCATATTGGCTATAGACAACCCCCTCTGAGCGTCAGAAGTATACCAAAGGTATTTTCATTAGTCTTAAACCATTTTAGCACCCGTTTATATGTGTTCTGAGTGAGCTCAACGAGGTAGGTGTCGAGACTCTCTCTACATCGCCCGCCGACCGCTGGTGAAAGGCTTCAGCCACCGTCCGCTTAGTCAGCCTCGGGGATCTCGGCGACAACATTTGTGCCAGCCATCCTATAGCGTTCTCCTCCTCTTGTTCGTTCTGTATCCAGTAATTCTTGATGAAGAGTTATGGAGGCAGCAGCATGCACAGTGCACCCTACACAACTCACCTGTATTGGTTGGATGCTGTAGCTACTGGTAAAGCTCGTATAAACGACCCTTGTCATTAGGCAGCAGAGCTGCAGGGTTTATATACACAGTGGCCCATAGGCTGACTAAGCTACGTGGAATATCTATAATCCTACTGAGCTCCACCTATGATGTCACTGACCCACATGAGCTCCGTGCCCTTGTGCAATAGTGAAATATACCAGAATGTTCCAGAGGGTTCCGGTACGTTCTGGTACGTTGTAGAACCTGGCAGCTAAGTCAGCGCCCAGTTCAACACTCCCCCTCGCTAAGTGCCGCGGATAATCGCGCACGCAAGCGTTGGGCTGACTTAGATTACTTGTAGAACCTAAGTCCGAGTTGCGCTCTGAAGCGCAGGAACTTGACATGTCCCAAGTTCTTAGTGAACATGTCGGCAGGGTTATTCTCGCCATCGATGTAGAATACTTCAACTTTCTTCTGCTCGATGACTTCCCTGATATAGTGATAGCGAATGTCAATATGTTTAGACCTTCGCTCGGTGACAGGATTAGATGCAAGGAATATAGATCCTTGGTTGTCACCGCACATAGGAATTGGACCGAGTTGGTAGCCTAACTCATCGAAGAGTTGTCTAACCCATACACATTGGTGGCTACAATCACTGAGCGCCATGTACTCGGCTTCAGTGGAGGATAGCGCAACAGTCTTCTGTGCTCTCGACTGCCAACTGAATACGCCATTGGCCAATTTAAGGAAGTAACCGGTTTGGGACTTCCTGGTACTGGGGTCTGATGCCCAGTCCGAATCAGTGCATGCAGTATTACCAAGTCCACTAGCACCATCAAAAGCTAGTGTGTAATTACGAGTCCCAATTAGATAGCGGCAGATATACAGCACTTTATCTAAATGGGCTTGGGATGGATTAGCAGCAAATTGCGCTAACTTGGTAACTGCGTAGCTGATGTCCGGTCGGGTTCCAAGCATAATGTAAAGCAAGGAACCGATCACAGTTTGGAACCGGCTACGAAGAGTAGGATTGACTGGGCCATTGTGAGGCTCAGGTTGATAGCCTGCAGGGAGAGGAGTTGGCGCAGATTTTGCATCCTGCATGCCACAACGCTGCAGCACTTTATCAAGGTAGGCGATCTGATCAAGATGAATCTCTCGGCCTTGCCTTGTAATGCGCATGCGTAGGAATTCCTTGACATCGCCAAGGTCCCTGCATTCCCACTTCTTCATGAATCGTGACTTAACATCTGTCACGAGAGACTTGTCCTTGCCAAAGAACAAGGCATCGTCAACATAGACGACAATAATAACCATGCGGCCATCCTTCTCCTTAAATAAGAAGATGCCAGCATCGGTAGTTAGACGTTTGCAGCCTAATTTCTCCAAAGACTCAGCAAGTGTGCGCCACCAGGCAAGCCCCGCTTGCTTAAGTCCGTAGAGTGCACGGCACAGTCTACAAACCTTGTGCTCCTGGCCTTTCACGGCGAAGCCTTCAGGTTGTTCCATATAAATTTCCTCATCCAGTTTGCCATAGAGATAGGCATTGCGCACATCGAGTCCAGATATGTGCCAATCCTCAAGCGCTGCTAGCGCGAGCATAAGGCGCACTGTCTCAAAGCGCACAACTGGTGAGAATATTTGGTCGAAGTCAATACCTTCAACCTGCGAGAAGCCTTTAGCGACTAATCTCGCTTTGCGACGTCCATCTGATTTGACGTCAAAAACCCAGCGACATTTTATGACTTTACGCCCTTTAGGGCGGTCAACCAAGTCGAAGACTCTGCGCCGACGAAGTGCATCCAATTCTTCGTGGCAAGCAGCTCTCCATTCCTTCTGCTTTTCTGGTGGTAAGCGAAGGATATCGCGGTACGTCCATTCTCTGACGTTGGACATGTCTGGATCATCTGCCTCAGGCGAAATAGCCTTCAGAAGCAGGTAATTAATTAATGGTACTCCCCCTTCCCGGCATAGCTGTGCCAGAAGTAACTCATCAACGTCTTGTTCAGACCACTGGTCAGAGGATTCAGGAGCGACTGGCTCATGCGAAGCACCCGGGGATTGAGCAGGAGGGTCGCGAGGTGGAGGGGCAGAGCTAGGTCCGGGAACCTGTTGCTTCTGCTTGGACTGGCGAGGTATGTGAGACATCTTAGATTTTTCGCCAACTAAATCCTTCCACTTCTTGTCTGACTCAATCTCGCGATAGGTTTCTACGGGATTCCGCGATTCACCATAGATATTACCCGGGCGAGTTCCTGGTCTCCTTTCTCTCACCGGTCTCCGCAGCTCATCTTGTGGTGCAGGATCCCCCGGAGGTGGAGAAGGTGGGTTCTCAGGCTCTCGCGCCTGAGGCTGCGCAGGTTCGTCGTCACGATCCTGGCCTGGCCCCTTTTGGGATTTAGGAGGAGGATGGGAGTCTGGCTCATCATCATCGGTGATCCAGTCATCATCAGAATTTTCTGGTTGACTGTCAGCTGGTTTAGGCGCACTTTGCAGCCTAGTGCTTGCCCGTCGCTTTGTATTAGGGCATTTAGGGAACATAGCTTCATCAAACAGCGCAGTAGGCTGAGTGACTATACTATTATTGGCACGCATGAATTTGAAGCCATGGCCGCCATCAGCGACACCAATGTAAGTCATCAGCTCAGCTTTAGGTGATAACTTATTGGGTCTGGTTTCCTTTGGCAGGTAGACGTATGCTCCGCATCCAAAGACACGTAAGTGCTTGATGTCAGGAGCTTCCTTGTTCAGGACCTCATAAGGAGTCTGCCATTGATGGCGCTTCAAAGGGGTCCGGTTGTAGATGTGAACGGCATGGTCTACCGCAAATTCCCACCAAGATGGAGGTGAGCAGGACTCTAGCCGCATTGACTGCGCTTTGTCCATTATAGTCCGAATAAAGCGCTCAGCTGACCATTCTGTTGGTGCGCATAAGGTGCGCTCTGTCGGATTTTTATGCCCTCATCTCTGAGCATCTCGATGAATGCATCAGATTTGTACTCTCCCCCTGCATCGGACATCCACTCCTTAATTTTCCTGCCATATTGATTTTG